CCCGCGCCCCCGCGCCGAGGGGCCCAGGCCGAGGGCCGGCGGCGGCGCCTCGGCCTGGGCTTCGGCCCCGACGGGCGGCCGCAGCACTCCCTCGGCGGCGAGCGCGGCCGCCTTCCTCCTCGGCGCGCCCGCCGCGGGCGGCCTAAACTCGTCCTCGGAGTCGGCCATGGCGGAACGCCCCTCCGACAGCCTCGCCAGCGAGACGAGCGCCTAGAGCGGCGCCGCCCCGCTTGCACGGCGCCGCCTGCAGGCTCCCTCGGCGCGGGCCGCCCAGCGCGCCCCAAGCGGCCCCCCGGCAGGCACCTCGAGCGGCGGGCTCTCGCCTGATCAACGGGCTGCCCTCATGCAGGAAGGGTACCCAGGCCACGGACCCCCGGGCGACCCGCCCAAAGGCCTTGCAGGAGCCAGACTCGCAGGAAGCGAAGTGGCACGGAATGAACCGACACAAAGCGGTGTTTTAAAAGGAGAATGTGTATTCAATCAATACAGATGTATTTTGCACAGCTAGGGCCTGCTGAGTTGGGTATACCTAAGACTAGAGCAGCCTGCCCCATCCCCCACGGAAACCATCCACAAACCGCCAAAGCGAGCTCAGGACAGGCTGATGACAGGACAAGCGGTCCAGAGGCAACCTTGCTCAAAGTAAAGACTGAATACCTGTTGGCTCTGGAAGACTCTGAAAGCCAGTTTTCCATAACACAGGGACTCCCGCAGTACAATCAACCATATAACACATTTTAAAATGGAAGACATTCCCATATGATGCATCCCTGCTCTTTTAGCAGAATGTTTTCAGGACCACCTGGGAACTGAGCTGCTTCCACAAAAACACCAGAAAAAACAGGCCAACTATTTGGGCTAAATTGTCTCTTCGGACAGCAGGCAGCCTCCCAGGATGTACCAGAGCTGCGGGCTCTCGATTCTTTTGGGCCATGGTTTCAATGCTTCTCCAGAACTTTGGCAAGGAGATCATTCAGTCTGTTCACCATCGGCCTGGGGTCATCATTCAGTCCTGCTGCTATCATTGCATTGTCATAGATCTGCAGGAAAAGGAAGGGGCAGTTCAAGAGCAGGAGAAGCTGATGTGGAGATAGGAGCACAGTTATGAAGACAAGGCCCCTCTAGCAAACTCGGCCAAGACTGGGAGACCCAACACAGCCTAGGGGAGCATGAGGAAATGCTAGGAAGGGAGACTGCCCCCTCCCACCACCTGTTTTACTGCTCTCCTCCAAGGAAGGGAAGGAGCAGCAGCAAAGATATCCAATAAAGTGCAGGCAGTGACCACCTGAACCACAATACACGCTCCACAAGCATGCATGAAGATCAATGTTAAAAGTGCCAAGGCTGTTCAGAGCTTAGTCCCAGTCAGCATCTCACTCAGAATAAGGCACGAAAACAGCAGCTACAGCTCACCTGGTCAAGCAGCATGTGGGCCAGCTCAGGCTGCTTCAAGCGCAACTGGTTGAGTTTCTTGATCAGCACGTGCCTGCAGGAGAGACAGAGAGCAGGGCAGCTGCAGGACTCCGCTCAGAGTCCTTTCTCCATGCCAAGTCCCAGGCCCAGCCCAGTCAGCCCTTTCCCCCTTACCCTGTATTTATTTCCAGTGTGGGCTGCAGCATCTGGGCTCGCTCCTCACTGGTCTTGGCCAGCTGCTGCATGCGCAGGAAGTGGCGAGCAGCGCCCATCTCCAGCACGGTAATCATGGCTGGATGCACATCCAGACGCGGAGTCACCTGCAGGAACAGCGGTAAGCAAAGAAGCAATGGTGGAGCCTTTGCAGCACACCAGAGAACAGCCCTCCTCCCGACTTCCACAAAATGCTTCCTGCGTGAAAAAGTGACCCCCCCCCCCACTCGCCAAAGCTAGCGAGTCTCTAAACACCCCGGCTGCTGACAGGATCACACTGACCCACCCCCCTGCTCTCAGCACTTCTCCCAGGCATAGAAAAAGGCATGCCATGTAAAGGGAAGGGGACAATCTCTTGTCCTCACCAGAAATCTATCAGTCAACACTCAGTTCAGTCACTTTGCCCTTTCAGCCAAGAAAAAAACTGGAAAAGGGGGCCGGGGCTCCAGGAAGCCCTGGGCCTGGAAATGACCGGGAGCCCCCGGGTGCTCTTTGAACTGGCTCAGCAGCCCTGTTGGTGGGGCAGAGGCTGAAGGGATGGCTGCCTTCTGGAGCACTCCTGAGACAGAGCCCTGGCAGCAGCTGCCCTCAGACACGCACTTGACCAGGATGCGCCCAGAAGGCCAGACCGCACCACTCTGTCCACTCACCTTGATCGTGGCTACGCGAGAGCCAAGGGCATTCCTCATCCATGCCAGGAGGTCCTCTGCATCCTGGGAACTCAGGCACTCTTCCGCTGCAGGGGGGGCATTGCACTGTCATCGCTGGAACAGGGGCAGGAGGAATGCAGGCTCTGTTCTTTCACTGCCCCTGCTCTCCAGAGAGAACAGCTAAGCCGCTGCTGCGGCTGCCCCAAGGGCGCATGGCTGTTTCCATCTGGTTCACGCACTGGCTCATCCATTTTCCTCCTGCACTAAGTTTCCCACTGCAGAGCCCAAGGCACCAATTTGGGGCCAAAGCCAGCTCAACTATTCACAGGCTGCCCCTCCTCTCCAGTTTACCTGGACGATGCTCCTCAAACTTCTCCTCTTTGTAGTGGTCAACAACGATGTCTGTCTCCACAGACATCAGCTTCTTCTTGTCAAACTGGCGCAGGTGCAGGAGCGTCAGTTCATCAAACTGCTCGTAACAGAACAGCACCTAGTAATGGAAGGGGCAGGCAGGAGGGACTCAGCTTTGAGAAGTGCTGCTGGCTGTGTCAACCCGGGCAGGGCTTGACAGGACAGGACAGGACAGGACAGGACAGGACAGGACGGGGGGGGCCCCGATGGTCAAGATGAACCAAGCTGCTGCTGCAACTGATCCCCAGGGCCATTTTGTCAGGAAATGGGCCTCCAGCACCCTTGACGGGACAGGGACCGGGGCGAGCAAAGAGCGATGATCGCCGTGCTGCAAGCGTCCTGCCTCCCTGCCTGGCTGAGGACAGCTTCGCTTCCTGTGCTGGGGGGACAGGGAGCCACGGAAAGGGCTCAGCGCCCCGCCCCCCGCACTTCCCCACTCTTCCAGCGGGGTTGCCTGCTCACCTCAGCATCCTTCTTCTTCATGGCTTCATAGTATGGGGAGTGCTCAGCCAAGTGGCGATTGGGGGCACACAAGTAATAGATGTTCCTGCTGCCGGCAGGCATGCGGCTGGCATATTCTGAGAGGCTGGTCAGCTGGCCAGGTGGCAGCGTGGAGGACTCATAGCGCAGCAGTTTGGCTATCTCCTCCTAGGAAAGGAAGCGTGTCAGGAAGGAGCCCCATTTGCCCGCCAGAACGCAGCAAGGGCACCCGCCCCAGCGCGCACACCTTGACCTCCTGCTCAGCAATCGTGACAATCCCCTCACGCATAAAGAGGCCAAAGTCCTCAAAGAATTTGGCATATTTCTCAGGGTCCTTCTTGCTCTGCTCTATGAAAAACTTGATCAGCCTCTGCTGTAAGACATCGCGGAGTTTCCTGCAAAAGAAGAGTAATGCCCAGAGAGGGAGAGCGGTGCCCCAGGCCACACACAAGCACCCAGAGCGTGGCCAGGGCAAAGAGCGCATGGCTTGCCAAAATGCAGCTCACGGGTCAGGCACGGCTGGGGTCAGCCTTTCACGAAAGCATGTCTGACTTCAGGGTGTGCAATCAGAGTGAGGCAGGAGTGACATCCCCACCCTGGATGCCCCACAAGTGCCTCTGGCCAATGCTGGCACGGGATACCATGTTCTCTGCACACAGCCGTAATGCTGATGGATGCTCTTGTGCTGAAAAAATGTTTATATTGCTGCTTTCTTTCCTGCTTAGTTTACTGTGCTTGTGCCACATTGGTATGATGTTTTTATTATATGTGTTCTATGCTATATTTTTATTGCATCGCATAAACAGCTCTTCACCATTCAAAAGGCTTTGACTAGTGAGCAATGCAAAAATTAAATAATAGAGACATACAACTGCCACCCACAATAGCAGCACATGAGGACTGGTCTGCTGCTTTCATGCCGCCGTTCCTGGTTCAACTCCCAGCATTTCTGCTGAAAGGAGTCAGTAGCCAGGAAATGCGCAGGAGGCTTCCTCCCCTATCGTCACGCAACCGGAGGGCCACTCCTGACCGTACAAGCAGGCAAAACCAGGCTCGGTGGACTCAGGAAACGTTACTGCCTACTGACCTCCGAGGAAAGCTGGGGCCAGGCCGCTCGCTCACCTGATCAGGGTGCTCTCCTGCAGCAGCTCCCGGCTGAGGTTCAATGGGATATCCTCACTATCCACAACCCCTGCAAGGTGGGGAGGCAGCGGAGTGAGCGTGCACTGGAATCCTGCCCCGCACAGGAACCTCCTGCCTCAGCGTTCCCCTGCCTACCTTTCAAGAAGCGCAGCCACTTGGGCAAAATCTCAGTGGCTTTGGTCAAGATTAGCACCTTGCGACTGTACAGCGCGACACTGGAGCCCAGCTCACGGCTGACATCAAACATGGAAGGCTTCTGAAGGTGCAGGAGAAAATGGATCCCAAGATGAAGCAGCAGGGTCTCCCCTGCCGAACCCCAGCCCAGCTGCAGCAGATGGGCTCCCTGCCCCAGAGATTTCCGACGCCAGACCACTCGAGGAAGACTGCTGCCCTCTGCCACCCACTCACCATCTCTGGCACGTAAAAGATGCTGCGGATGTTGAGTGGCGCATCTGTCTTGTAATGGAGAATATAGCGAGGCTCGTCATAGGACTGGGCAATGAAGCGGTAGAACTCCTTGTGCTGCCAATCCCCAATGTCCTTGGGCTCCATCATCCAGAGAGCCTGAGCAGAAGGATGGAGCAGGCAAGCCTAAGACAAGACAAGCCCGACCCAAGGCAAGGAGAACTCCAAGGGAGCCATGCAGCCGAGGCCCCACATCAGGCAAAGGGGGAACTGCTTCTCCAGAGCTATCCCACCTCCAAAGACAAAGAACAGCCCCTGAACACCACGTCCAATTGGCCATCTTAGGGAACCCTTTCCAGAGCAAGAGGCAGTCTAGGAACCAAGTCACATCACATTAACTCCAGATCCAAAATCTGACTGCTTCAGGGAACTCACAGATGTGAAGTGAGCTCCAACGCAGGGAGAATGGCAAGTTAACACGAACAGCGAGGAAAAGCAATTTGGTTCACCCCAAAAGGCCACTGCGAGAGCACTGCAGCACAAGGACAGCGAAGGAAGGGCAGCCCCAAACCCGCCTCCACAGGCTGACGCAGCTCCCACTTCGCAGGGGAAGGAAACCCAGCCTCACCCTTCACTATTCCAGCTGTGCTCCATGAACACCACAACGGGCACCTCCCCAGCCAGCGCTCCCTGTTCTCCTTACCCAGCCAGGCCACAACTAGCACCCCACGTGGCACAAGGGAGGACGAAGGCCTCCTCGTGGCAGAGAAGAGAGTGTTTGTTCAGGGCCGTAAGCCAGGCCAAGCAGGAGGCAAGATGTGAACTGGCGCTACCTGAAGATGCTGCATAAGGATCTGGCAGCCTCTGCCCACGAAGTACCACCTGGCTCATGGCAGGGCATGCCTGTCTCCATCCCACATCTTACCTGCAAGGTGTTCACACGCTGCCCATTCAGGTAGAGTGGAAAGCTGATGAAGTTGCTGTACTTAGTGATGACATCTAGTGGATGAAAGGGATGCCTGAGCAGCCATGTCAGTAGCTCTCCATGTGCCCACCCCTGCCCCCAGTGATGTTCACCCTGTCGCATGACCTGCAGCACGACCGAGGTGAACAAGGCAGGGTCTCGCCAGGCAGCACACAGCCCTGCAAGGAAAGGAGCTGGGCAAGGTGGGACGTGAAATTCTGGGCCTAAACCACAGAGCCCACAGCTGGCTTGCGTCATTTGCCTCGGGAGTGGGTGGGCTTGTCCACAGAGAGCCTGCTGCAGAGACCGGGCGGTTGCAAGCCCGCCCCGCAGCCAGCTGCCTTCTCATCCCTGCATCTCCAGTGGCCCCTGACAGCACACAGACGCAGGAAGGTGCCTGAACCACACTGTTGGCTTAGCTACTCTGGGGTGGAGAACCTCAAGCCTGGAGCCAAATCTCTTTCAACAATCCTGCACTGGTTTGCCAGTGCTTGATAAGTTTTTCTTCTATTCTAAAAAGCTGAGCTGCCTGAAAGCATCACCCATGGCTTACCTGCTGGCCTAAAAACATTTCAGTGCAACAGGCTGATATTTTTAGGACTTCTGGCCCCTCCCACCACAGAAATGCACCCCCAGGAGCTTCCCCAAAATGGAATCTGGCCCTTAAGTTCAAGAAGTTCCCCACCCCTGATCTAGCCCAACATCTTCCCTGACTGGACGGGGCTCTCTCTCCACGGTCTTGGACAGAAAAAAGTCTCACCTAGTCTTTTAATCAGAAATGTCAGGTACTAAATCATGCAAAGCAATTGGTGCACCACTGCCACCAAGCTAAGGTGCTTCCGCCCCACCTTGCCAAGCTCTGCGGGCCACAAAGGAACCCTGGGAATGCCCAGGAACTGGGGACATAAGCACAAGGGGGATAACAAACAAGCCGCCAGACCTAGTTGCTCACCTCTGACTCGATCTTCACTGGCAAACTCCATGCACTCCTTCTTGAGATGGAGAACTATCTTGGTTCCAGCTTGAACCCCAGAGGCCTCAGATAGCTCAAATGTCCCTGAGCTGGGGAGAGAGGGTTTTGGAAATGTAAGTCATGGGTAAACAAGGGAAGTCCCAGTGACAAATTGTGCAATAACTGGTAACAATATTATCTAGCTCTGCTAAGTCGCAGAACAGAAACAGCCAGCAGGCCATTTGTACACAAAAGCTGAGTGTTGCAGAATCATGCAGTTTTTCAGCACCATCGCAATAAGCTTAGAAAGCCAGCATTTTTATTCCTTCCCTTGTTTGTTTGCTTAGTTTATTCCATTTCTATGCTGCCCCATACAGGTTCTCTGGGCAGCTTACAAAAGTGCACCCCTTTGCTTAACAAATTTCCAAGAAAAGCAGTTGCATTGAAATTGCATATAACAAGAGTCAGCAACTTGGATAGGAATGCGGCAACCAAGGAAGACTGAGTCCGAGGTACACCTTCTAATTCTTTGAGAAGAACCACACAGAGAATCCTGTATGGCACATGCACACACAAAACATTAGCACAGCCAACTCCTTCTAAACAAAGGATGCAGAACTCTGTTTTTGTACGAGCAAGTCCCCAGCAGAGAGAGTGGCTCGTCAGGACACACGGCAGGCCACTGCCTTGCCTCACCCCCATGAGAACAGAAATGCAGCTGCAACTGCTCCCATGCAAACTGTTGTCCTGAGACAAAGGGTGGCAAGGGATCGCGCCCCAATGACTTCCAGGAAGGCGCTCTCAGCAGCTCAACAGATGCCAGGACTCGGACACCAAGGGCTCAGCCCTGTGACCAGGCGGCACATGAGTCGTGCCCTGAGTCAAGTGAGAAAGCAATAGTTTGGGAAAGTAAGATGAAAACCAAGTGTGGCTAGAGGCTCAAATGCAGCTTCCAAAAACAGACCGACTCTTCCACTCACCGAGGGTCTTACAGAAGAACCCAAGTCCCAGGGCTGCCCCCACACTACCACATACAGCACACGCACAAACACCCCCTGCATCTCTTACCCATCCGAGCACCAGCAGTAGCCAGGGCTGCCTGGTGCTGCTAGCTGTGAAAAAACTTCAACCCGATCAGCCACCATAAACGATGAGTAGAAACCCACTCCAAACTGGCCAATTATCTTACTGCTGGCCTCCGCCTGGTTCTGCAGCATGTCCAGAAATGCCTGGGGACGGAAGAGCTCTCCTGAGGTCAGGTTGCCAGCTGTGGATGCGCCCAAGCACTCCATGCTTGCCTTAACCACACAGCATAGCTGGGTTCTGCCAGACACTCTTTCCAAACGCATCTTTGAGAACTCTAGATGCCACCAACTAAGACCAGACCCTCCTCAGGGCACTTATACAATGTTTTAAGAAAGACAGACAAAATCAGGCCATTACAAAACCCAAAACAGCAGCACCTTAAATTGAACTGCGCACTCCCACTGGGCCAAAGCTCTGCCCAGCAGAGCAAATGTGGTTCAGGAAAGTCCCAGAAACTCATGGCTGCTCTGCAGCAGCAGGGATCCCATCCCCTCCATCAAGGCTGCGTGCAAGACCACAGCAGTGGCGAGGACCCGGTGCCTCCTACCACCTTACCTTGGAGCCAGACCGCGCAATGGTGCCCAGATTGGACAGGAGCTCCTCCCGAGTCATCCCAATGCCCGTATCCTGCAAGCAACCAACAGGCAAAGGAACTCAAATCATGGCTAGGACACCAGCATGCCCACACTTCCCAGCTGGGAATGGGCAAGCAACGGGAAAAGAAAGGCTCATTATCAAGCATTTCCTTATCATTGACTCACTGAGAGTCTACCATGAGCTGCAACGACAGCAAAATGCTTGCCGGTTAAATATCACCTTCCAGCGGCATTTTTGCAGGATGAAGCTGGACTGGAGAAAAAGCCAGGATCAAATCCCCCCTCGGCTGTGCAACTTGCTTAGCAGAAACACAAAAACTTCAGAAGACACAAGAAGAGCCAAACCCAGATGGAACAGCAGCCAGGTAGGGCAGCTTTGCCAGGAAATGAGCACACAGCTGAACGCAGTAGCAGAGGGGAGAGGACACAGCAAGATGGGAGGGGGCACGGCAAGCTTTGCTGCCTGGGCAACTGCAGGGCAAGATTACAATGGCTGTCCTGAAAACCAGCGGCCGAAGGCATGGAAAATACACTGTCATCTCCTGGCTAGCTGGACCAAAGGAGAAAGAAACTAATCTGACCCAAACCCCAGCCTCTGGCACAGGCTGGGAAGCTCTCCAACAGCAGTGAGCCCACAATGAAGGTGAACATGCTGTAACGGAAGGAGCAGGGCTGAGGCTGGGGCATGGGAAGAGATACATGCCTGCTGGGTGGATTTTGCACTTAGGCGGCTCTCATGAGGGGCTTCTGAATGATGACCTTAGCACGGAACACCCAAGAACAGCAAGAGTGACAAGAATCTGGGACATGCAGACTTCTATCTGAAGCTGGAATGCTGATTCCAGAACAGAGATGGACCTAATTCCTTAAGGAAAAGCTTCACAGAGACAGCAAATCTCGCTGCCCCACAGGCATCAGCAGGCCTGGTCAAGAAGGAGGCTGCGTGCCTTTCGGCTAGTAGAAGGTGACCACAGAGAACATGTGTAAATAAATAAATAGACTCCCATGGCACCTAGCTTCCTGCTACAATACCTGGATGGTGAGAGTTCCCTTCTTGGAGTCTGTCTCAAGATGAATCTCTAGTTCTGGCAGATCCTTCCCTTCAGACATCAATTTATGGCGCAGCTTTTCCAAAGCATCACTGCCATTAGAGATCAGCTCTCGAATAAACACCTGCAAGAAGTGAACGTGTTAAGTTCTGCAAGTAATTCTCAAATGTGGAACAGTATAACACTGTGGATCAAGAGACAGGTCAGCACCAAAGTCTGCCCAGGGTTACTGCACTGAGACCAACAGGGCACAAAGGTTAAGTGAATCAGATTGTTCCTGGGAAGTCCCATCTTTTGGGTCATGAAGCTCACTTTGTGGTCAGTCACTGACTCTCAGGCTAAACTACTTCATCAGGTTCTTGTGGGAACACACTGGAAAGAAGTAGAATCATGTGCCACCTTTGGCTTCTTAGAGGAAATGATGCAATAAAAGCATAACATATGATCCAGACAGCTGCCCATCGGCACGTGGCAGCAGTGCTCTTGGTGCTCCTGCCCGGGGGAGCCCCGGAGGCCAGGCACAGCGCACAGCCTGCCTACCTCCTTCTCTGAGTACAGGGAGCGGGCCACGATGTCCAGCAGCTTCCGAGTCTCGGCCTGGAACTCGTGAGTGGAGGAGGAGCCTGTAAGGGAACCAGAAGGACGTGTGCTGGCGGCGGTGGCGGCTGCTGGGCCGTGCACCAGGCCGCCGCCCCAGGTCCCCTGCCGCAGCCCAGGAAGGCACGGGGACTCTGCCGAGAGCGGAGGCGCAGCCGACCCACCTGCGATGCTCTCGGGGTGGCTGACCAGCCTGTGCAGCGCCGGCGGCGCCTCCTCGTCCTGGCCGCCATCGCTCCGGGCGGCGCGCGTACTGCACAGGCGCCCGCAGGCCCAGCTCGGAGCGGGCACGCGCGGGGGCAGCGGGAGCGGAGGCCACCTCGGCGCCGCCAAGCAGAAGGCAGGGGCCCGCGACCGGACGGAGGCGGCGCCCGTCCTCTCTCCCCGCCCGGGGCCGGGGCGGGGCAGGCGCCCGGGGAGAGGCCAGGCGCGGCGGCGGCGCCCTCCCGACAGCAGCAGCAACAGCGACCCCAGCCTCCCCATCGCCAGCCGCTCGTTCCCGCGTCCGGCGCGCGCGTGACGTCCGCGCAAGGAGGGGCGCGCGTGTGACGTCACGGAGTCCCCGCCCCCCCGGCCGGTCGCGAGCTGGTCTGCCGCTGCAAGGGACGCGCGGGACTGCGCATGCGCCCGCCGCTTGCGGACCGGCCGGAGGCGAAGGGGGGGCGGGCCGGCTCGGCCTGGCGGCGGCGGAGGAAAAACGATCGGTAAGCCCACCCGGTTGTCCGCGGCGCGGGCGCCTCTGGGCATGGCCAGAGTCCGCCCGGTCGGGCTGCCTGCCCGCCTGCCGGGGTGGTTCCGAGTGACCTTTGCCTTCGCGGGCGACCCAGGAAGACCCGAGGTCGGGCTCGGGAAGCATCCTCTTGCGGCGTGCGCCTCCTGGGGGGAGCCCCGTGGCCTCCACAGGGCCTGCTCCCAGGTAAGCGCCCGTCCTGGGATCGCGGCCTGAAGGGTCGAAGCAGCGCCTGCAATCGGCGCCTTCTGGCCGCTGCCTTTACTGGAGGGTGAGTCCTGCGCAGTCATCCCTGTGGGTGGCCCCAAAGGAGCCAGGGTGGCAAGAACTAGGGCTGCACAGGACAGGTGCTTCTTGCTCTGATCGCTGTGTCTCCACAAGCCACGTTCTGCGCCAATCTGTCTGTCAATGGCTGGATGCTTTCTCGGGGCTTGGCAGCAGCAGGCCTCTGCAGAACAGCTGTTGGGGAACCGCAGCCAGGGATGATTCCTGCCCAGCTCACGTACTCCTTGTGGGCACTGGGGCATTCTATTTGCCTTTGTGGAAATGAGCTGCTGACAGGATTGGTCCTCAGTCTGATTCAGTAGGTCCCTTCTTATGTGAGATAGGATTCAGATAAGCCAGAATGGAGAACAAGGACTTGGAGGCAGAGATCCACCCGCTCAAGAATGAAGAGTGCAAAGCCATCGAGGGCCCAGCCAAGTGTGCTGAGAAGGAAGGAGGAGCCTCAAGAAAGTCTGGCCGGCTCTCACGATGGCGCACAGCAGCCTTTTTCCTCTCTCTCTTCCTCTGCCTGCTGGTGGTGTTTGCCTTCTCTTTCATCATCCCATGTCCTGTAAGGCCCATTTCCCAGAGGACATGGCACAGAACTTACGACAACGCAGGTGAATTCCTGGGCAGAGGGCTCTGACAGCTTCCCATCTGGCCAGGGTGTGAGCACTCTGTGGCCCCCACTGAAGTGCTCAGTTCCAGCATTTGGTTCTGGTCTTTTGCAGCCACGTACACATTCCTGGCAGTGGCAGATGTGGACAAGGACAGAGTGCAGGATGTCCTCTTTGCCTTCAAAGCGGCTGCTGCGGGCGAGCTCAACAGCAGCAGTGGTGTGAACAGCTCTTGCTCAGATGCAGGTCAGGGCCTGGGAAGCTGGGTTCTGGGGCTCAGGATGCTCCGTGGGGGCAGGACCAGAAGGCAACGTCAGGCCTCTAGTGCCAAGTGTGCCGATTCTCCTTCCTCCTCCTCCCTCTCTGCAGGCTTTGCCACCCCATGTGCCTTTGTGGCTGCTCACTCAGGAACAAATGGGAGCACCCTCTGGCAGAGGCCCGTGGCCAAAGACCTCCTCTGGATGGACTGCTCAGCCGAACAAGAGGACAGCCCAGCTTGCCTTCTTATAGGAAAGCCAGATTTTCTAGCTGCCCTCGACTTAGAGACAGGTAGGTCTTGCCAGCATCTCTGCAGGCAGGGAGAGCAATGCCAACCATTGTTCATTCTGAACCTTCAGTGGGTGGGTTCAGAAACAGGTGTGCAGACACAACTCCTTGTGAAGGGGAATTCTCACAGAGAAATTAGGCGCATGAATCACTGTTAGAACTGCTGCGTGGCGTTTACTTCCCTTACTCTGGCTGTGCTCAGCACATAGGAGGAGAGCTCGGCTCCAGGCAGGCCCTGCGGAGAAGGTGTCTTGTTTCTGCTCTGTCAGCCAAGTGAGTTACCAGGCGGGCTGAACTCTCTGTTGCGGGGAGTCAGCCAGTCTGAAAGCCAGCTAGGACACACAGTGACTTTGATGGCTGCTGCCACAGAAAGTTAGCTGGAAAGTATTCTTTCTGAAAAACGCTCGGATCGGCTTTTCTGTGGCTGCCATGCAGCCTTCGGTTTTTCAGGCCATCCCAGGCAGACGCCCCTCTGGTGGGTTCAAGATCCTTTGGCATCCCAAGTAAAGCAATGCGCCAGGCCGGGCTGTGCTTACGGGGAGCTTTATTGAGTAACTTGTGCCAGCACGTTACCAATCAGCTGGAATGGACAGTCAGCAAAGCTGGCAGTGTGAGCAAGCGGTCCAAATAAAGAGGGGCTGGGCAAGTGCTTGTTTACTGCTGGATTGCATTTGCAGCACCCCATCAGGCCGTGAAGCTCAGCATTCCTGACACACGGGTTCCAAGTTCACTGGCTTTCACATCCTTAGCCAGTTACAATAAAGTGTATTGTCTCCCCCTGACAAGTTCCACGGTAGCTAAGGAACCTCCTGATAAGCAAGGTTATGGGGTGGGGGGGGGGACACATTTGCATAAGCCCCAGATAGGCCTGAAATGTAAGCGAGCAAAGAGCTGGGCTGCAGGTTGTGTTACGGTCGGTCTTCGATAGCAAACACCTGCTTATGCCTTTGCATGATGTTCCATGGCCATCCTTCACCCCTCTTCCCCAACAAGAGGCCTCTGCCAGGCACGGTGGAGGACCCTACCAGCCGATGGACCTGGCGTTGCGCTGTGCTCCCGTTGTTCCTTGGCTCTGCAGCCAAAGGAAATGAGCCCAGCCCACCAGAGGGAGGGGCAGCTGGAAAGGCCCTCCAGCCTCCTCTTAGCAGCCATTCATTGTGCCAGTGCGGGAGATGGGATTGCCCCTGGCACCTCCCCGTCCTTTTCCCTGGCAGCTGGAGTAGAAGGGCTGTCATGCTAGCATCCTGCTTGTGGGATTTTCCCAGGCTTCCGGCTGAACGATTTATGGATTTGAATACATTAGGCAGCGTCATAGCATTTCAGAAACCACTGCAGTCTGGCTAGCCAGTGTGAGAACAGAATGCTGGGTTAGAGGGCCTTTCTTCTGACCCCACGTGGCTCTTGCATTGTCCCAACTATAAATCCTGTGTGCTCACTTAGCGACGGAGCAGGGACCCTTATCCAGGGCAAGCAGAGCTTTCCTGGGAATATCAGCTCTCATTGTAGAAAGTAGCCACCCTTTTCGTTGCAAAAATATGCAGGACCAGACAGTGTCTCCTCAGAAACTAAAGGATCACCATTTATCCCTGCACATGATAAGCTGCAAGAGTTAGAATTTGCAGACTGGGCTTCCTCATACAAGAGGGAGCTGGCTGGACCTCACGGCCTCCCCTGAAGTATCATCTGCTAGGACATCTCAGCCTGCAAGGGTGATGGAGCAGATCACAGACATCTGGAAACATGCAATCCGGTCTAGCAGGGTCCTGTCCATGGGGACGCCTGTCCAGCATCAAGCATGTGGCAGGCAGCAAGGTTGCCCATGGACCTGGCAGCTTGTCCAGAACTGGGGATCCTGGAGAGGTTGTGATGTGCTGGACATAGCTGCATGGGGCAGCCATCTTGAAGAGGAGGAGGGTGGGGGCCAGGAGTGGGGTCAGTGACAGCAGCTGGGCTGCCTGGATCTAATTCCAGGGGCTCCACAGTTAATGGAGCTGTGTCCATTTCAGTTCAGTCCAAGTTTACCAGGAAGAACATTTGTGAGCCTGCTCCCGTGTAGCTCCAACAGAGGCTGAAAAAAGGGGCCAGATCTAGTAAAGCTAGATCTAGTAAAGCTTTCTCATCACCGTGTTTGTCCTGCTCACTTCCCAGGCCAGACCCTGTGGCAGAGGGCAGCCAACTTTGGAGCGAATTCTACAGTGCTAAGTCCCTTGTTGAAGGTCCCGGATGTCAGTGGGGACGGTGTGCCCGACCTCTTGGTCTTCGCAGCGGTGGGAGAGGAGGTGAGGCACGGGGAGCCACAGGCACCAGGCCTGGCCCCGGGCACAGCAGTGTCAGTGTTGCTGAGCAGCTGCTCTGCCGTTCTTCGCGGTCTCTGCAGATCAAAAGCTGCTTCCACTCGGGGAAGGATGGCACCCAGATTGGCTTCAGCGGCAGCTTCCGTGTGCCGGGCAGGACTGGCCACCTCCTGCAGGTCACCCCGGCTGGCGCCCACTACGTTCTCTTCCGCACAGGTGAGCGCGGGGCCTTCGAGAGACGGGCAGCAGCCTCGTGGCCCAAGCACCCCCCGTTGAGAGACGGGTCCTGGCCTGCTGGGCGGCCAGCAGAGCTCCTGGCCCCTCGGCAGCACTCGCTGGCTCACCTGGGTGCCTTTTCCCGCTGCAGCGAAGGCCCTCTATGGCTACTCCCTGGATGAGATTTACCAGGCGGCACTCAATTCATCGGCGCGTGGCCAGCCCGGCCTGAAGAGGGATCCGCGCTGGGAGCTGGCTGTTGACAGAGCTACCCACCAAGTCTCCTTGCCCAGGTACAGGTGGCAGCTGCAGGGCTGCCGAGCGGGAGGGTCTTGGCACAGGGAGGGCCTCGAGGCTGGCAAAGGGAGGCGTAGGCCGGCCCCTGCAACTGCCGGGGTGCTTTTCAGGAGCCAGCGAGCGGGGGAGCGGGTCCTCCATGCGCCTCAGGCCAGCCCGGCTGAGGCTGCTCTCCAAAGTGTCCTTTTCTGAAGCACCTCCCGGCTGGGGGCAGGCGGCCATTCGTTGACGCTGCTGCAGAAGCGCATTTGGTGGTTCTGACTGCAGCTGCTGCTTCATGTTTTCCTATGACAAACTGGAATTTATTCCCCGCTCTAGAGCAGCGCAGGCACAGGAGGAAGGGTTGTTTAGGTGGCTCACAGCTTGACTTCTGCACGAGGCTTCCTAAAGCAAGGGCCGAGGAAAGTCCTCTACACAAGCCCCTTGAGAGCAGCGGCTCCGCTTCCCCCCTGCAGCCCGGAGCCGCAACAAGTACTTGGGACATGTTGGCACAGCAAGACTTGTCTTTGCAGCGGTGCTGCGGGGCAGGTGGCTCTCCTGTTGTTGTTGGACTCGATCTCCCATCACCATTGCCCGTGCTGGCTAGCTGTGACTGGGGCTGCCGGAGGGAGCAGGGAGGAGGAGGGAAGGAGCCCCGAGGGGCTCCTGGGAAGCACAGCATGGGACAGTCCCAGTAATGCTGTTCTCTGCCCTGAGCTTTCAAGAGGCTCTGGCAGTGGCAGGAGTAGCGGTCAACCTTCAGTCTGCGTATCATTTCCACAAGAACTGGAGCTTTATAAACAAAAGATGTGAGCCACGTCTTTTCCTGGCTACATGGGGGACCCTGCCAGGGCACGTTGGAGGCAGCCAGTGGGCCTGCAAATCCACCATCCCCTGGCAAGCTGTGCCATCGAAAGGCCCGGCTGGGCCTGAGCTCTTCAGCGTCCCTCGTGTTTCCTCCGCACGTAGCTCCGGAGATATCCACTACTTGACAAAAATGCCTGCGAAACTGGGGACCAACCTGTTGGTTGCGAGGTCGTCTGTGCTGGAGCTGGTGGATGGACAGCACCTGGGTTCCGTGTGGGTTGCTGACATACCGCACATCATGAGGTAACACGGGCCCTGGAGCCGGCAAGGGGGCACCCGGCGCAGTGTCCTCTTCGGGAGGTGCCCTTGCGGTCGTCCTCACGGGGGCCAGGCGCCTGGCGTCTGCCACCGACTCCACAGGCGCGTCCGGTGCACTCTCTTTGTCACGTGCTGAGCTGCAGCTCAGGCTTGGAGGAAGAAGAACAAAGCGTGGCCGGGAGCCGCGTTCCCTTCCCCTTCTTGCAGCTAAGTGCCCTGGGAGCCGGAGCGCAGGGAGCTGCCTCGGGGCGGGGGGCAGGCCAGAGCCGTGGATCCCCGAAGCCCACCAGCGCCACCATACCTGGCGTATGACCGCCTCCTCACGTTCTCTTGCAGCGAGCCAGTACTCGGGGCATACAGTGCCGATGCGGTTGATGTTATCACTGAAAGCAGAGTCTCGGCCAGCAAGAAGAAGGTTTGTTGCAGAGCGGAGCTGGGCCTCCTCGGGGGGCCCCCAGTCACTGCTTGCAAGAGCAGTAGAACAAATTGGGTGGTAACTCGTTCTCACAGCTCTTCTGTCGCAGGCACCAGAGCCTGGTCTTAAAGGGCTTGCCTGAAAGCACAAGGAAGCCCCTGAGGAAATCACCCCTTTACCCTCCAGCCCCTCTTCCCAGAGTTCAGTCACTGAGCAAGCTTCTGTTGCTGGAGGCCTGGGCAGCCGAACACGTGGATGTCTAGAAACGCGGTGGCAGAGGCTGCCTCTCGTCTTCTCCGAGAAGCATGGGGAACGATGCTAGTTGTGGCCTGTGCTTGGCCTTCCCTGCTCTGCCGTGCAGCGGAGAGAGGCCGCCCCCATTGCCAGGTGGGCTGGCCATCAGCACCCACGTGGATGGAGTGCCAGGGCCTGAGGCCACCCCAGCTGAGGGGGACATTCTCCCTGCAGGTCATGATTGTGGAGAGCAGATCAGGAGACATCAAGTGGCAGGTGGAGCTGTCCCAAGGAGCGTGGACTCCCAGGCCTGCCAGCTTGGCCACAACGGATCACAGATCTGCCTTCCTCTTCTGGGGCACGTATGAGGGGGACACAAATGGAACTGTGAGTAGGGAGTGGCCTGCGGGGGAAGGGGAAGCGGGAAGGCTGCCTGCTTTCGTGGGGCTCCCCGTGGCTGTGGCAGTGCCTCCAGGTGGACCCCAGGAGGGCTTCATGCAATGTTAGCAGTGAGATGCCGGATCCTCCTTGCTGTGGGGGGAGGGGAGGGGAGGGGATGGGAGAGGGGAGGTCTGAATCCAGCCACAGAGCAGCCATGGGGCAGAGGGCTTACTAGGTGTTCCTGTTCTGCCTATTGGTGTGTTCCCCCTGGGGATCCCCCCCAGAAGACCTTCTGTCTTCATAACAGAGACCACAGGCGAGGCCTTGCTGGGGCTGGCTGTGGGGGCAGCTGGGCTGGGAGAAAATGGCCCCAGTCCCATGTGGGCAGAGCAGCAGTGAGTGGACTCCTGCCTGCTGGACCCAGCAGGAGCCGCCGTGCACATGCCAGCCGGCCTTCTGGGCAGCCGCAGCTCCATGATGTGGCTTCTGCAGAAATTGTCAAATCGGCTCTGGCAGAATGCCTGGGGCTCTTCGTCCAGCTCTTGGCTCCCTAAACGCCTCTGGTGAAGGGGACGTCCGCTCAGCCGCCGCGTGGTGGCTTGCACATAACACGGAGCGGCCCACCTTCTCAGGCAGCTGCTCCACACGTTCTCCTGGTGTGGCCGTGAGTGCGCCGGAGCCGGTTCCACAATGCTGCCCTCCAGTCGCAAGGAAGCCGTGCAGCCCCAGACGAGTGCACTCTGCCTCTCCTGCCGGGCTGCAGCCGTGCCCTTCTCTTGGCTCCAGGCATCCGAGGAGGGGGCTCTGCAGCCGCACCTGTACCTGTTCCACCCCTCCCTCCCCAACGTGCTCCTGGACATGAGCAGCAGCACGGAGCCCATCGCGGCCTTTGAAGGTAAGGGCCCCGCGCCACGTCCCGCACCCAGTGCCCCCCCGAGAACGGTGCCGCCACTGCCTCCCTCCTCCGCTTGCAGGGGTGCTGTTCGAGCGGAGCCGCCACGCCTGCTACGTGCTGCTGACCGGGCCCCGTGTGGGCAGTGCGCCCGGCAGCATCGTGCTGTCCAAGCGGAAGCTGAAGGAGGACGTGGTCGGCAGCCGCGTCATCTGGCTCAGCTCCTTGGCCCCGGACACAGAGCAGCACGTGCGGGAGCGCTTCCTCCGGATGAGGTACCGCAGCCTCCGGTGAGCGGGGTGGCACGGCAGAGATGGACCAGCTGGCCCAGCAGCCCCGGGGGGGCCAAGTCCTGTGCCCTGGTGGAGGCGGAGCCTGCTGCCGTCCCAGCGCCCCAGCCCAAGAAGACTGCCTGGATGGAGCGGGGAGCCTGGCGCGGGGACGGGGACGGGGTGCCCCCAGCGCTCTCTTGCCCCCATCCTGGAGGCAGTGCTGTGGTGGGTGGCGCCGGGCTGGACTGAGGGGACATGCTGGTGGCTCCTGCTTCCCAGGCCTGCGTTCCCTGCCTCTGGGCGGCTCTGAAGCAACTCTCCGCAGGCGCCTTCCTTCTCAGGGCAAGAGCACCGAGCCTGTGACCAGGGCGCCGGGCAGTCCCTTGCCTAGCGTTTCGCCCGTGGACAGCTGTGGCTGCGGCCACTGCCACTGTCACCGCTGCTGCTGTGGATGGGTTTCCTGCTCCAGCTGCAGGCCCACCAGAGCACGTCCCTGGGGGGGGGGCCTTCCGCAACCTGCTGCTGGGAGAGGCCCCCAGCCTCCCTCTGCCACTGGCCTTTGCCTGGGGGGCTTCTGAAGCTGGCAAGGGAGGGACCCCTTTTGAAGGTGCTGCGTGGGCAGCCCTCACCTCTGCTTGGCAGGAGCAAGGCTGCCTCCCAGCCCTTCATACCAGCTGCCTTCTCTGCCGTGATCAGCTTCAGCTGTGGCCTCTCTGTTCGGCCTTGATTCAGTTGTCCGTGGTGGCGGTGGCGGCTTCAGGCAGGCGGCTGTGAGCTCCCGTGTCCTACACTTGCAGTGCCCTGGAAGGTAGACCAGCTGCCTGCCTCCATCGTGGCTTCAATAAAGCCTCTGTTTTGTCCACTCTGAAATGCAGCACTTTGCTTCTCTGTGGCTGTCCTGAGCTGCTGCACTGCAGGCTGGAGGGCCCCGTCCTCCCCGGCAGGCCAGGCCTGCTTTTAGCCAGACGGGCCACTAGAAGGTGCTGCCCTCCTTGGAGAACCGGGTGGCTCCCACCGTGTCTGGACAGGGCGGGGGGTCCCCATCGGCTTGTCTAGGAAGGCATGCATCGTACTGTGGCTGCCTCCCACTCTCAGCTGGAGACCCTCTCCTTGCTGCAGTGCCCCCCACCCTTGGGATGCGCTCGAGTCCCTGGCGTCTGCTGCGCTCAGCCCCCTGGCCATTCAGCCCAGGGCCCGGCCCAGCCCTGCTCCTCCCGTGCAACTAGCTTCTTGTCTGAGGAGGTTGTGGACTTCTGCTCGGGGAATTGTTGCCTGGTCTTGCGCTGAGCTTTCTGTCTCCTCCAACAGATGGCTTGCCGCTGTGTTATCTCCACAGCAGCCTAAGAACGGGAGAGGCAGCTTATGCAGAGTGTGAAGGCTCCTCCATTTCAGCCCAATGCATGGCTCAGGTTTTGGGGCTCATACCCCAAAGCTCAGACACAGTCATCCCAATCCTGAGTAGCCAAGCTATCACTTAGGTGTAAAGCTTACACAAAGGAACTCAGCCGCTCCAGCCACATCCCTTCCCACATCACCTAAGCTTTGTCCGCTGCCCCCTTGGGCTGCTCTGGGCTGGTTCTAGGCTGCCCTTGAGTGGGGGCGTCCCAGCAAGCACAGCCTTGGGCCAGGCTCATCTGCTCTCCCTGCTCACCAGGGCCTGTGGGTGGGAGCCCTCAGCATGGCACCATGCGCTGGAGCGTGGCCAGCACCCCCCACGGCAGCTGCTGGTCCTTGGCCAGGTAAGAATCTGCTCTGGGCAGAACAGCTTGCGGGGCAGAAGCAGAGCAGCCAAGAACAGAATATGGGAAAACGGCACCAAGCCAAACGAGAGAGTGCAGACGTGAAAACCAAATCCAGAAAAACCGATCTTCCTGAACGTGTACTATGCTTTATACTTTATATACTGTCTCCCACAAACACCTTCAAGGGCCAGAGGACATCCGCTTCTGTGAACACTCAACTTCATGGAGGGGCGCATGCCCCACAAGGTTTCCGTGCGACAAAGGCTCGCAATGGAGTCACGTGCTCATGACACGCCCCACAACAGCCCAGCCACCACCCAGTCGGTCCTTCCTCGCTGGCCAGCTCTGCTTTGCAGACATCGAATGCCAAAGGGAAGCAGAGCCGCCATGCCATCAGGTGTGGGATCCCCACTTTGCAGCCTTGCTCACTGTGAGCTCTGATGCCGGGCTGAGTGGAGCCGTGCAAAACTGAGTCCCCCGGGGGACTGCTCAAGTGTGCAGGATCCAGGCATTGCAAAAGTGTGCTGTTTGCCCTGCTTGCAGTGGAACGGGGAAAGGAGCAGCAGCACCCACCGCATTTCCAGCATCCCAAAGCGGCAGCGAGGACAGGCGGATGGCGCCCTCACCTCCAGGGCGTGCGGGCTGCCCTCTGCACTGGCGAGCAAAGAGGTGGGAGGAGCTGTTGCCCAGCCTGCCCCCACCGGCGCCAGTGCTGTGGGCACACTGGAAATCCAGCGGCTAGGCAGCCTGCCAGCAGCAAATCCTCTCAAAGCGCAGCTTGCGAGTGCCTGCCGAGCGCCAGGGATTTGGAGGTTGGGCACCAGAGGCTGATGCTTTAAGACCTTTTCGGGAGTGTAGCTGTTGCTTCTGCAAACTCCCCTGCCATGACGGCAGGCAGCCTGGCCATCACCCCCAGCTCCAGAGGGCTGGCTTATGCCCCCCGAAGCACCTCAAGGGTGGCCAGAGCCGCATTCCAAACCCCCCGTGGAACGGGAGGAGAGCGCCTGAGGCAGCCGGAGGGCTCCGGGCAAGCAAAGTCCTCTGCAGGAAGTCCCCAGCAGGGAGCCGCAAGGGCCGGAGCACAGCCGTGGGGCTGGGGCAGCTCCAGCAGGCAGCGAGCGCTGCGCCCCCATCGCTGCCCTTCAAGGGCCCAAGACTCCGCGGCCGACCGGGGAGCTCCTGAGCAGCAAGCCATGCTGGAAAGCCAGGGGCTCCGGAACCCCTTCGTCCTTGTCCTCGTCCTCGTCCTCCCACAAAAGCAGCCACTGCTCTCTCGAAGGGCTTTATTGCGCATCCACGTGAGGAGGGAGGAGTGTCGGCGGGAGTGTCAGGCCCTGGATCCGGGCCAGGCCGGCAAGGAGTGCCACGCAATGGCCAGCCAGAGGCCGCTGCTCGGCGGCGTGGCGGTTCCTGAGGTGAGAGGTGTGGCGGAAGGGCAGGGCTGGTCCACGAGGGGCTCCGGCTCAGGCAGAGGCTGTGTGCAGGTGGGGGCCAGGCCTTCACCACCATATGGCTTGTTTCCATATGTGTCAGCGGGGGCGGGGGCAGCACGGGAGTCCCACGACAACGGAGGAGTCGAAGCGCTTGTCCAGACTCGGGGCCCGAGTGAAGAGAGGCCTGGGCCAAGACCGGGCCTCAGCTGCCCGTGTGGGTGTGGGGGCAGCCGGGGGGCTTAGTTGTCGTCCTCGGGCGGAGGTTCCCCTGCCGCGGCTGGAGCTGCCTGGCTCTTCCCCTCAGGCCGGGCCTCGGGCTCCCCGGGCTGGGGCAGCACAGCCGGGCTGGGGCTGGAGTGGCGCTGCTTCCTCATGAAGGGAAAGATCCTGCCGGAGTGAAGGGGTGAGAAGTCAGGGAGGGGTGGCACAGCCCTGCCCCCCCAGGCAAAGCAAGCCGGGAGCCCCTTTGGAGGGGGCCACCCACCCCCGCTCACCGCTTCTTGCTCTCCGGCGGGATGAGGGCCTCCGCGAGCAGATTCTTGTAAAGGTCGGACTTCAAGAAGCGCGGATAGGAGTCCTGACACCAGAAGATGCAGCGGGGAGAGGACAAGGCGGAGGTCAGCGCTGGGTCAGAGCGGCAGGCAGGGGGCAGCCACAGCCGAGGCACCGGCCCTTTTGCAGGATGCCGCCCAGCGGGACAGGTGAGCCGCACTGGGGACGCCTGCTCCCTGCAGCCCCCCCCGCCCGCCCCCCCGCACCTAGGCGGGCCCAGCACCTTCTTCATCAGCATGTAGATGTGCATCTGGGCGTCGTCCATGACGTAGCGGTGCGGGGTCTTGATGCCTTCCAGGGTGCGCTCCATGGTTTTGCTGTCAATGTTCACCCAGCGGGTGGCCCCGGGGGCCAGGAACTGCCTACAGGGAGGCAAGCGCAGGCAGGAAACCCCAGGCCAGGGGAGGCGTGGAAGAGGCCCGAGGGCGAAGGCTTCCCTGGACGGGCTGAGGGCTGGAGGAGGGGGAGGGAGACTGGCCAGAGTCGGGCAAGGAGCGGGGTCTCCAGAAGGCGTCCAAGAAAGGGCACTGCCAAGGCAGGCAGGCACTGGGGGAAGGATGCACCCAGCATTGCTGCTGGGGGCTGAGGCTGCCGCCCCCACCGGGGGGGGTGAGACTTACTGATAGATGGACTCCACAATCTCAGAGATGCGGCCCTGCTCTCCATAGCGCAGCTCTTCACACGCCTCCCAGAAGCTCAAGTTCTCCGCTGTGCAGGGAAGGAGAGAGCGGCCCCATCAGGCGGTGTGAGAAGACAGTCCAAGGTCGTGTTCACACAGTCGCCACCCAGAAGACCGGCTGCGCTGGAGGGCAGCAGCGCCCACCCTCCCACGTGCCCCCGCCAATCGGAGCACTGCCTCCGACACTGGCATTACCCAAAGCCATCGGACTAATAGCCTTGGCCTCCTCCAAACACTTATCTAATCCCTCTTGCCAGCCCAGGAGAATCCAAAACATCCCCAGACAAGAATCCCTCGTCTAGGACTCAGCGGCAAATGCTGAGCAATCCTGGGAGCTGGACGAGGGAAGTGGGAGGGGCTTGTCTCTCCCAGCTGCACCTTCCCAGTCCTCGGAGCAGCACCAGCACCAGCCCAAGAGTCAAGGGCAGGGTTGCTGTGGCCTCCAGAAATCCTGCCTCCCCCACTAGGCTTCCTGCCCATTCGAGCGCATAGCTTAGTGAAGCTGCAGCTTGGGCTGGCGGGCAGAGAGAGATCAGGAAGTCTGCTAGCGCACTTCAGCTCATCATTTCTGCCCACTCTAAACACATTCCAACCACCAAAACTGTGCTGGGACACCTCCTTTTTCTAACCCTAACCCTACCCTGGTGCACACCCCTAACCCTAATATAGGGGTAAGGTTCCACTGAAAAGAGGGAAATTTTGAAAAAGCCTTCCTTGAGTAGCTTTTTCTGCACATCTCAACATTTCTGCTCATTCTAAACACATTCCAACCATCAAAACCATGCTAGGATGCCTCATTTTTGTAACCCTAACCCTACCCTGGGGCACACCCCTAACCGTAATATAGGGCTAAGGTTCCATTAAAACAGGGCAATTTTGAAAAAGCCTTCTTTGAGTAACTTTTTCTGCACAGTTCATGATTTCTGCCATCCTAAACACATTGCAACCATCAAAATCATGCTAGGACACCTCGTTTTTCTAACCCTAACCCAGTGATGGTGAACCTTCTAGAGACCGAGTGCCCAAACTGCAACTCAAACCCCACTTATTTATCACAGAGTGCCAACACTGCAATAAAACCTGCTGGGGCAATTCTGGGGCAACTTGGCTGACATGCTGACAGAGAGGGCTCTGCCTGCCCGCTCTGGCACGTGTGCCATAGGTTCGCCACCACTACCCTCAGATGATGATGATGATGATGCCAAGAGCTGTCAGCTTCCATGCCAGTGATGCCAGATCTGGGCAACTCGGGACTTCAAGTTGGCCGCCTAAGCAACTAACAGCAGGGCTGCCTCCACACTCCATCAGCCCCGAACATGCCTCCCCTTCTGTTTCAGAGACTCAGCCCAGCCGGATGGAGGCAATGGCAGCGGACGGCTCACCTGCCCAAATGCTCGGCCTGTTCTCACAGGTGCTGCCCTCTCCCTGCCCTCCCCTGTGCAGGCGCATCTCTGCCCTCTCCAGGCGGACTCCCCCAGCAGGTGTGTGCTTTCATAGCTTCTGGCAGTGAACTCATTTGCCACCCGGTGCCGGTGTCAAGGGGTTCTTTTTGCTGCCCTTCTCTGGCAGAAGCGGCAGAGGCAGCCCCTGAACAGGGCCCCAGTGGGGGGAACTCTCCTTGCTCTCCCAAGAGCCCCCTTCCCTCCCGGATCTGCACTCTCCCCAGCACCCGGGGACCCAGAAGCAATGCGCTCACCACTGAACTCTTTCTTGAGGAACTCCAGCAGCTGCACCCGGCCCAGGGGGTCGCTGATCAGCTCGCTGAAGCCGAAGCTCCAGCGCTCCACACGCAGCTTGGTTGGCACAGCCACCCTGTGGGCAGAAGCTCCCTCAGAGAGCAGCACACGACAGGCACTCCCGCTCCCCACAGCTGCGGCCGCCTGGGGGTCGTTGGCAGCAGAGGGGCACACCCACAAGGCCAGGGGACGCTTCTGGGGTGCTCGGAGCTCCTCTCCGCAGTGCGTCCCAGGCGGCGGCACCCCGGCCCGGAGTCGCGGCTCAGGGAGACCACCCGAGTCCGCCGAGTCTCTCGTGCCCCTCCTCCCATTAGGGACCTCCACACTCACGTGGGGGCGTTCATGGCCCAGTACATGGTGTCATCCGTGATCCAGGGATTGCTGGGAAGGCAGCCCGACATGATGGGGTCATGGGGCACGTACTGCTCATTGAACTTGATGTATCTGCCAGAACAGCAACAGACGGGCACTGCTAAGAGCGGAGCCACAGCTGGAGGGGAAGTCTGATTCAAAGGCTGGCAGAGACCCCTTCCCTCCCCAGAGAGCCCCCAGCTCGCGTCCACTCACCCCTCCAGGCACACAGAAGATTTGATGCGCGTCCTGCCCATGGCGGCACGGCAGTAGCAGATCTGCGTTCAGGAGAGCGGGATCAGGGATGCTGCCCCCACAGCCACTGCCCAGGCCAAAAGTGGTGCCGCAGAGACCCTGCTTCAGCCCAGCAAGCGCTGGCCGCAGCCGCCCGGTGGGGACAGCCCTGGAGCTCGCCCTTCACGCAGGTGGGAAGTTGGTCAGAGCTTGCCACCTTTGCAGAGGTGACCATGCCTTGGCATCTGAGGGTCAGCTTGGCCGCTTCCTCCGGAGAAGTGGCCCCTTGCCTGGCCCAGCAGAGCTGTGGGGGAGCACAGCCCATCCCAGCTTTCCAGGCCGAGGTTGGGTGTTGGTGGCTACAGTAGGCTGGGAGGGCACTGCCGTTTCGGCCCCAGCCCCTCACTCACCTCCCGCTTGTAGTAGTCGCTGTTCTTCTCCTGGTTGGAAGAGAGAGAAAGAAGCCACACTCAGCCGCCGCCGGCTGCCCCACCTCATGCCAAACCTTACCCTGCCGCTCCTGCAGGAGGCTGCCTTCCACCCCAGCAGACGAGGGGCCCTTCCAAGCCAGGCTGCCTTCTCTGGCCAGCCCTCCAGACTCCTGGGCAAGGACCTTCACAACAGCCTGACCTAATGGAGCTGTGTGGCCAGGGCCCTCCATGCCCGAGATAGCCAGCCCCCGCCAGCCTACGTGCCTGGGCACCTTCCCAGCCTGGCCCCGTGGGCAAGCCAGCCGTGCTTCCCCTCCCGCTGCGGTCTGTGAGTTAGCGGTCGTGTTAGTGACTTACGTGGACGGACAGACGGACAAGGCACCACACAGAAGAGAGAAGAAAACAGACCCAAACTGTCAGTAGGGGACACGCACGCAAGCGGGGCCAGGGGCACACAGGGCAGGAAGCGAGACCTGCCCCTCAGCAAAGAGACGGCCATGTGGCCAGCCCTCCCTGTACTTCTCCCTCCAGGGCAGGCCCTGGGCTCCCCTCCCTGCACAGGGACAAGGCGAAACGACAGCCACGGACAAGCGACAAGCAAAGCGACATGGATGGCCCAGAGAGGCCTCGAGGAGGCGGAAAGAGACCCAGCTGTGAGGTGGGCCTCCCCACCCGCCTCGAGCACAGACAAGACAGGGCACACACACGCCAGAGTTAGTGAGGGCCACACGGTGCCACATCCCCTGGACAGGGAGCCTGCCCCGGGCCCCCTGCCGCACCCACAGAGACTGGGCCTGGTGAGGGGGCGCATTCCCCACCCACCCCATTCTCCTGCCTCCTTTCCCCCCAGAGACCGGCAGCACCGTGGCACGCACGAGCTGCAAGCGCCACCTAGCAGGCTGCCCCCTCTCCTGCCCCCCAGAAAACCAAGGAGGGCTGGCTACCGCTGCCACAGAGGGGCCGCCAAGCTGGCACGGGGGGCTCAGCCGCCCTGTGAGTCACCCTGAAAAGGGGGGGAGCTGCTACGGGACAGGGGCAGGATGGTCGCTCCACCGGCCTCCCCCCTCCCCACTTACCAGCTGCACTCGGGTGCTCTGGCAGTTCCTCCGCTCAGGGCCCTGATCTATCATGCGTAGCGCTCCGGGCTGCGGGCAGAGCAGAGCACAGGCAGGCGTTGCTTCCCCTTCTCGGGGGCGCCGCACCACGCAGCCTCTTGCCAGGGCAGCGGGACCCTTGGCTTGCCCCCCTCAGGCAAGAGACTCATAAGGCAACCTGTGCCCAGAAACCAGGCTTCTACCCGAAAAGCCGGGTCTGACAAGACCAAGAGCTTGGCCCCACAGCCGGAGGCGGACCCCGGCTCTCAGGCTTTCCTCAGGGACCTGCTGGTGCTGGCCCGGCAGTTCTGCGGCCAAACAGAAGCCCCGGAGTCGCCTGGACTGAGTGCGGGGGCTGGTCAAAGGGAATGGGCAAAGAAGCCGCAAGGTGCCCGGTGAGCTGCCGCGGCTTGAAACGGGCTTTACGGAGGGCAGGCAGCTCGAGGCCCCCCAGATGCCCGGAGACCTTGGCCCCTGCCACTGCTGGGGAAGCCCAAGTTGCATCCCACTGGGTGAGAGAAGCAACGGTTGCCCTGGGCCCCAGCTGCCTCTGGTCATAGTGCCCAGTGGCACCTCAGGCGCACAGCAGATGCCACCCCCTTGCAAGCTCCCACCGGGAGCCCGGGGTGCCCACAGGAGGCCACTGGGCTGTTCCCTGCCCGAGGTGGGCAGTCCCACCCACCGGGCCCCCACACCGCAAAACATGGCTCAGGAGGGCTGCAGGCCTCTTCTGTGAGCCCAGAGCCCCACTCCTCCCGCAGGTCCGTTCCCCGTCTCCCTCCCCGCCACCTCTCACCGGAGGCCTGTTGACAAGCCAGTAGGCCTGCTCCTGACACTCGGTGACAATGCGGTCCCCCTTCCTGCGCTGCTTGGCTGCTCTGAGGAGAGAAGAGGAAAGGGAACCTCAGGGGCAGGTGGGTCCCTTCTCCTCCCCACAGCTCTGCCCGCCCCAAGGAACAGGATCCCCGGGCTCACCGGAGCTGCTCCCGCGCCTGCATCACCACGAAGTCCCAGGCGTGGTTGATCCGCTTGTGCAGCTGGCAGTAGTCTTCCTGCAGGGATCATCCTTGGCATTAGGCCCTCGGGACAGTGCCAGCCGCCCCCCCCCACTCATTCCACAGGGCTGATGAGAAACTTGCAGAGGAGGAGAAGGGAGGCTGCACATGGGGGGCAGTTCTGCCAGGGTTGCTTGCGCACCGGGACTGGGTCTTCCACTCAGCCCCCATACCTTCTCGTGTTCAGTGAGCTCTCCTTGCTTCCGGATATTCTTCTTTGCCAGGTAGATGGCTGGAAAACAAGCAACAGTCAGGAAGCTGGCCTCCTGCCTCCCATCTGGGTGCCCAGAAGCTCGGTTGGCTCCTGGGGATGAATCAGGAGGAGGGTGCATCATGCCAGGCCCTGCTCCGCTTGCCAGAGAGCCTGTCGGGGTCACTCACCATAATCCAGCTCCGCAGCCGGCCACTTGGTGCTCATCCAGAAGTAGGGAGTCTGCAGATCACAGAGGAAGAGAGATGCTTCAGCTGCCGGGAGAGGACAAGGAGGGAAGCACCCCATGGCTCAGCCCTCGGGATACCAGCGGAGGAAGCCGCTGCAAGCCCCAGCTGTGTGCTGGAGATGCACTAACAACAGCCAGGCTGGTCTGAGACCCCCCATGGGAACTGCGAGGGACTGGGAGGATCTCAGCGCAGGCCAGCCAGCCAGCCAGCCGCATCCTCAGAGGGCCTGCCGCTCTCCTGGCCTACCTGGAACCTGTAGGGCGTCTCGTCTGCCCGCAGAGCCAGGCTGCGAGGATCCCTCAGGGGGTAGATGTAGCCGTGCTTCACAATCAGGCCGCCCAGGTGCAAGGACTCTGGAAGGAGAAGACGGCGGTCAGAAAGACGGCCTCCAGCTGGTCTCGGGAAATTCCCTGCGGTTCTTGGATGAACTGAATGTCACCGAGTGACACATTAGGGACAGGCAGCCCCCGCCAAGGAGGAGAGGCTAAAGCTCCCCCCAGCCAGGCACTCCCTCCCAGGCCCCTCCCCGGACCCTGCAACTCTGCAGGGGGGCATGTTCATGCCAGGCCTCCGGGAGGACAGAGCAGCTGAGCTGCAAAATGGTGCCCACAAGGCAGACCGTGACGGCTGCTGTGGCGTGGCCATTCCAGGCCAAGGGGCCAGTGCCCGGCCTGCCCCGCTCATGGGGCTGGGCCTGCGCAGGAGGATGGACGGACAGATGGAGGACGCCTGCTGCTGCAGAAGGACTGATGGGGCCAGCTCAGACCTTCCTCCGAGATGGCATACTTCTGGATCAACCACTCCACAATGTCGCTTCCTGAAGGGGGAGACAGGGCCTGGCTCAAAGCACAGCCGCCAGAACCGGGTCGCAGACCCTTCCCTCCCGACTCGGGCGCACCTCTGCCCCCAGGAGCACAAGTCCAGCTCCAGGGACAGCGGGCGGCAGCGCACTGCCCCCTCCCCTGGCCGGGAAGGCTCACCCCGGGCGGCCGCTGCAGCGCCTGGAGGGCGGCGGCGGCGGCGGCTGGGAAGGGCCGGAGGAAGCGCGCGCCCCGCCCGCCCCGCCTGACGGCCCTGCGGGGACGCGCTCCGCACCAGCCGCCACTCGGGGCAGGGGCGGGCGACTCACCGGTCACGGCGTGCGGGATGACGGTGATGAGCAGCCGCTGGTTGCGCATCTTGAGGCCCATGTCGGGGTCCTGCATGCCCAGCACCACGCGCTCCATCTGCGGGGACAGCATCTGAGAACGGCCCCGCGGGCGCGCTGGGCGGCCCGGGCACGTCTCCTTCCCCGGCCACGTAGCCCGCGGGGCGCGCAAGGAGCAGGGAACAGCGCCCCCCGCGACGCGCCCCCGGCGGGAGCCATGCCCCCTCACCCCTCCTCGCTCGCGGCCCACCTTGGCCAGGCACGGCAGCTGCAGGCGGGGGCTGCCCCCCGGGCGGAGCGCGCTGATGGTCATGGCGGAGGTCGGGCGGCGGCGGCGGGATGCGCGAGCCGGCGAGCAGGGCCCGGCGGAGCATCCCGGCTCGGCGGGTCTCGCCCTGCGCGACGCGGTGCTGCCCCCTGCCGGCCGGCCCGCCAGCGCGGAGCCGGCCGCGGGCGGGAGGGCGGACACGGGCGTCCCGCGCGCTCCTCTGCGCACATGCAGAGCGCCGCTTCCCGTCTGCGGGTCTCCTGGGGCCGGGGGGAACCCAGGCCGGCGAAAGGAGGACGGCTGGCAGGAGCCGCCCTCGGCCGACGAAGGCTGTCGCTCGGGAGCGTGCGAAGTGTCTCTATCCAGGCGGCGGCGGGCCGAGCGGATCAGGAAGGCCGCCGCGGTTCAGGTTGCTCGGAGGAGGCGGCGGCCCGGCGCCGACACGGGGCAAGCTCAAGGGCAGGGCCAACTTCTTCGGAGGCCAGGCCAGGCCAGGCCCAGCCCGAACCAAGGGGCAGCCCCACATTCCGCCGAGTCTTGTCTCCCCCAGTCGCCGTCTTCCAGGGCAGCGGCCCTGCCCGCCGCCGCGCTCCGGTTCTTCTGAGCAGCGGGCGTATTTTCCTGCCGCGCCCGGAGACCTGCTGGGGACGCTTCCAGCCTCCGGGGCGAGGAGCTCCCAGGCGAGTGCCTGGCGCTTCGCACGACCCTTCCCCAGCCCCGGAGCGAGCGCGTTCTCCTCGCCGCTCCCCAGCGGGGGAGCGCTGCGCCATGGAGAAAGGCCCGCTCCGCTGCCAGGCTCGGCTTTTCTCAACGCCGGTCCTGCAGCGCTCCTTCCCATGTGCCCGACCCTGGCCGGAGCGGCGCGGAGGGGCGGGAGCGCGCCTGCAAGCACCCGGCCTCGAGCCCTGGCCCGCTTCAGCGGCAGCGTGCTTGGCAGAGGGGCCAACCGGGGCTCGCCGAGAGGGGCAGCGGGGGCGCACGGCCCTCGGCGCCTGCCGCCCAGAACTGCGGGCCTGGCGCTCCTTGCCCCTGCCCTCGGCGCCAGGCCCGGCTCGGCCTCCTCTCCCGGTGGGACGTCGCGGGAAAGGAAAGCTGCGCGCGCTCAGCGGCCAGGCGCGTCTCCCGCGCCCCATTCCAGCCGCGCCCGGCGCTGTCCCGGGGCGACTAGTTCCTCGGGGCGGGGGAGTCCCCAGCCAGCGAACCCCCGCGGAGAGGGCCAGGCCCCCGGCGCGCCTCGCGAGCCGCCCCCCGCCCTGCAATCAGGCCAGGGACGCGCGGCTCGGGGGCTCAGCCGCTTTATTGCTTCGAGAAACCGGCGCTGCCGCGGCTGCCCGCCCGGCTAGGGCCGCAGAGGCTCGGGCTCGGCGCGGCGCCCGAGGCGCGGCGCCCCCTTCAGCGGGCTCGCGCGCTTGGACTTGAGCGCGAAGCCGCGCGGCGCGGGGCGGCGGCACTGGCGGCCGCTCGGCGGCGGGCTCGAGTCTCCCGCGGCGGGCGAGGGCGCGGGGCCAGCTCGTCCCGGCGGCGCCGGCGGCGGGAATCGGCAGGTGGGCGCCCGGCACAGGCAGGCGCAGCCGGGCGCCTTCTTCTCCCAGAAGTCGTCGCCGTAGTCGAACCTGCGTGAGAGACGCAGCGCGCATTGGCGGCGGGCCTCCGACGGCCGGCACCGGTGCGGAGCAGCCTTTCCAGGGGCACTTGGGCGAGCAGCCCGGCCGAAGGCGCCCACGAAGGAGCAGCTTGAGCGCCCCTTCCCCTCCGCACCGGGAGGCCTCGCGCTTCCCGTCCTTCCCAAAGGGCGCCTGCACAACGTCCACCTGTGCTAGGATTTGGTGGCCACGTCCAGCCTGGCAGGGGATGGTGTGCTCCCTCCTGGAAATAGCCATCACCCACGGGAACCTCCCCTCCTCTGCTCGTCCCTCCACTCCCCTTCTAAAGCGACCAAACAGGCAGCCATCACCCCATCATGTTCCAGGGCAGCTGCGCACCCCAGAGGCACTGTCCTTCCCACCCGTTCGCCTGTCCCCCCAGACTCAGGGCTGTGGCCCCAACACTTCTGCAGCCTGCCCAGCACCACAGCCTGCTTTTTGACAGCAGAAATCAGCTGCCAGTGGCCAGCCGGGATACGATGGCCCCAAAGGGAGGCACTTGCAGATGGGCACTTTAGTTGCTGTCCCAGCCCACTTTCGGCTGAAGTGGCCCATTTCCCACCCAGGTCCAGCAGCTCAACTTTCTGGCTCTCCTAAGCCCATTCCCTACTCAACAAACAGTTCTGCAGTGCACCAGTAGTCTTTGCATGGGCCCAAAGAAAGTGAGGAAGATTTAAAGGAAGAGTCCAAGTGTGTAACAGCCACCAGACTGCCTTTGTGGATTCTTCCTCAAGGCCCTTTCTTTAAAAAAGAGTGTTCGAGCACCCGTCCTGCTTTCCTCTTAGCTCGCCTGAGAGAGGCTGGTGGCGCACTCATTCCCTGGAGCCCTTTGTGGCTCGGGGTGCCCGGCCCCTCCCAGCTTACCTCCTTTCAAGCCGGTGACTCCTGACGCCTGGCCCAGGCAGCCCAAACTGCTGCCTTCTCTTTCCCCCGCCCCAAACAGGCGTGGCAGCCACACAAAGCCACTCGGCAGCCCCGCGCGGCTGTATTCCACCGGTCCCGCCTCTTCCTCCCCGCAGGAGTTCCAGCCGCAGTCTGAGGAAGCTGCCCAGAGCCGGGTGCCCCCTCCCCAAGCAGCACCTACCCAAGCTCTTCGCCTGCCTGGATGGCCCGGGTGCTGAAGAAGGCGATGCCGGGGACCTCGTGGCCAACAGCCACTTGCAGGGCCACCAGGTTGGGCCGGCACGAGTGGTTCAGGAAGCGGCCCACACTGCCGTAGTGGCGCCCATCCAGGCAACATTCCTGCCCAGCCTGTGCGGGGAGGGGGACAACGCCTGGGCTCAGCGATGCCCTGCAGCGGGTGGGGCAGACCCTGCCCCCCTCTCCCTGCCCCATGGCAGGGGTGGGGTCGCCCCACGCAGCCCTCGGGGCACATGCTCAAGACTCCAGCCCAGCTGGAGAGGGCCCCCTGAACACGGGCTCCAGCCCCCCGGAGCGCTCCAGCCCCCTTCCCCTGCTGCGGCGCCGGAGCCACCTTCACGTCCACCACAAAGTAGTACGTGTCCTCTGCTCGCCGTGCAGCCTCCGTGCAGGAGATCAGCTCCCCAAAGTACCTGCAGGGAGGGAGGGAGGGAGGGAGGGAGCAGCAGGCTGGACGCAAGCCCTCGCCTCCCCGAAGGGATCCGCCTGGACCCCCGGGGCCCGGAGAAGAGGCTGCGCCTGGGACTCACTGGCAAATGAAGGTTCCTTGGGACACGTCCTGCATGGTGCGCACCCCCCAGCCTTTGGCTGCTGTTCTGTAGAGCTGGAGCTGAGTCCTGCAAGAGGCCGCGCAGCAGCAGCTTACTGGACACCCTCACAGGCCAGCTCAGGCAGCCCCCCAGCCGCAGCCCAAGGATGGCTCCGGAGCCCTGTTAGGGGCAGCAAGACGAGCAAGAGCATCCGTTCCCGACTGCAGGGCTGAATAGGTGCACAGAGCATGCACAGAACTGCTTCGCGCTGCACAGCAAGGGACCACGGAAGGACCCGGCCGAGCGGGGAGGGGGAGGACGCTGCAGCCCTGGTGCGGGAGGGATTCCTGGCGGAGACTCCCTCTGGCTGGCCAGGCCGATGCTGCAATGCCAAGGGGTGGAGAGGGGGCAGGGTAGTGGCGCCTGGAGAGCAGGCTCAAGAGGGGGTGGGGAGCCCTGGCCCAGGCAGAAAGGAGCTGACCTGATCCCCTGCTGCACCAGCCGGTTGGGGCAGGAGCTGCCGCAAGAGCAAAGCTGACTACACTCATAGATGGGGGCCATCTCCGCTGTGCTGCTGGTGGAATCCAATGCCAGCTGGCCATCCTAGACCACAAGAGGAAGGAGGAGGGTGCTGGCCCTCAACCCCCCCCCCCCCACAGTCATCCCTGAGCAAGGGCAGAAAGGGCTGGGAAAGCAGCTCTCACCATGGTGTACCAGGTGTGCTTGCTGCGCAGGATGCAGGGGCAGCTGGCTGCGGAGCAGGGCCCCCGACACTGACAGCGCTGGAAAGAGCAAAGCCCGCAGGCCAGCGATCAGCTCCAAGAGGCAGCCACAAATGCCCAACCCTATGGCCACCCCAGGGAATCCAGGCTGGGTTCCTGAAGCAGGCAGCCTCCAGGCTCAGCTGGGGCCCAGTGCAACAGCTCCTGCTTCTTCCGGATCCTCCCACAACCCACATCATTTCGGTCGCATCTGGTAAAACGCCCACATCGTTACCAGTGCTGCAAAGCCTCCAGCCACAGGTGGCCTCTGGGCTTCACAAGTCCCACAGGGGTCTTTCTCCCAAGACTTCTGCAAGATAGCCCAAGTCAGTTGTCACTGCCAGCCACTCTTTAGAGCACTGAAAAAAACAGTGCGACTGCACAATTCAGTCAGGCCTGGAACACTCAAAAGCACGGACACGCCTGGGTGTCGCCAGCCCTGCCTGCCTCCTGGTCTCTCCGGGGCAAGGCGGCTACAGCAGAGCTGCCAGACCTAAGCTTCAGCCGCTCTGTCTGAAAGGTCCCACAGCGCAAAAGGGTGTGTGGAGAGGAAATGTTGGGGAAAGTGCCACGCACTCTTACCCTGAACCTCAGCCCTGGAAGCAAAGTGGAGAAAGGCCACTGACCTGGCTCCTGCCCCAGCCTGTGGCCAGGAAGGCCACTGACTCTGAGATGAGGTTCTGAGTGATGTAGAGGAAGTCATGGGGACATGGCTCGTTGTCCACCCCATTGAGGCAAGGGATGGGGATGTTCTCAAAGCCCCGGGAGATGTCCCTGGAAAGGAAGAGGCCAGGGTCTCACGAGGGGCTGCAGCGCCCCAGGAAGCCCTGCTCAGGCCGCAGAGTGCTCACCTGCAAAGGATGTTCTCTACCTGCCGCGGGGGCAGGGCAGAGAATGTGTGCAGAGCTCTCCAGGAAGGGGAGCCCGGTGCGGCATAGTGCAGGGGCAGCTGGCCAGCTTGGTTCTTCAGGGAGACCTTGGCGCCATGGGCAAGCAAGAGGCTGGTGGGGGCACAAGGATGCCAGGATCAGCCTTAGCTCCCTGGCTTGGAATCCCCAGCAGGTACTCTTGTGGAGAGATGGAAAACCACCTTCTCACAAGGCACAGTGCCCAAGAGGTCAGACAGAGGGGCCCCGTGGCCAGCAGTGGCCCAAACAGAGCACAGAGGACTCCTGCCTGGGCTTGCAGGAGGGAGCACCCCTCCCAAGCAGCAGCACCGATTCTCCCCTTCCACTGGACCCTCACTCTGGCGAAAGGAGTGGCCCTGCAGGATGGGGCTTTGGGGCCGACCACAGGGGCCCCACACAGCGGGACAAGCTGCCGCCACAGCACTGCCTGGCCATATCTGGAGCAAGTGAGGCGGCATCCTGACCCCCCAGAAGCACAGCTACTCCAGTGCCATCTCCTCGCTCGAAGATCTCCCCGAACAGCCAGTCACTCCAGGTCCTCAGCTCATCTGCGCATGGCCTGGCTGCTTGCCAAAAGCCCAGCGAAATTTTAAATATACCATGGGCAGCCAGCGGCCCTGGGGCACTGCTGGTGCAGGCATCTCCAGCCACGCGAACACATTTCGGCCGGCGGGCAGGCGGGCCTCCCCCACAGCCAGCCCCCTCTTCCCGTCATGACGGCTGCAGATGGGCTCCCCGGCCGCAGGAGACCCCCACTCACGCGAGGCACTCGTAGCTCCCCTCCTGGGCGGCCACGTGCAGCGGGGTGTCGCCCTGCGCGTTGGGCACGTTCAGCTCGGCGCCGGCCTCCAGCAGCAGCCTGGCTATGGGGACGTGGCCCACGCAGGCGGCCCAGTGCAGGCAGCTGTTCCCCTCCTGCCGGCGAAGAAGGCGCTGGGCGGGCGGGTGGGAGGATGGCCTCGGCTGGGCGGCTCCGGAGGGCGCCGGCAGGCCCGCCCCGCCCCGCCCCGCGTGCAGCTCCGCCTCGCCGCCTGCCCCTCGCACGCCGCCCCCGAGTCCGGCGGGCAGCAGCCGCCTCCGGGCGCCCCGCAGAGCCGCTCTGCCCGCCGCGCGAGCACGTGCCGCCCCGCCCCTCCGCCGAGCACGTGCTTCTCCCGCCCACGCGAGCTCCGGGCCCCGCCCCTTCCCGCAGGAGGCTCCGCGCCGCCCGCGCGCTCACGTGGTCGCGCGCCGTCGGGTCCGCGCCGCGCGAGAGCAGCAGCTGCGCCAGCCGCTCGTGGCGGAACTCCGTGGCCCAGAAGAGCGCGGTCCTGCCGCCGGCGTCCTGCAAGGCGAGCAGCCGGTCCGCAGAGCGCCTCGAGAGCCGCGGTGCGCCCCGCCCCGCCGCGCCGCCGTACCTGCCCGTTGACGGCCTCCGCCCCCTGCGAGAGGAGGCGGCGCGCCGCCTCGAGGCGGCCCTTCCTGGCGGCGACGTGCAGGAGGGGAGCGACCGCGGCGTCCCGCTCCTCCTCCTCCTCCTCCTCCTCGTTGTGGCCCTCCTCCTGCGGGCAAGAAGTCCGCGAGCTGCGGTTGCCCCCTCTGGGTTTCCCGGCCGAAGCACAGCACCCAAATGCGCGACCCCCGTGTGGCCCCGCACGGGGGAGCCGTCGCAAGCAGCCCTCCCCAGCCTGGCTCCGCAGCCACGGTAGCGTTGGGCTCCCAACTGGGTGGGGAAGGCCCCCTCTTGGACCCCTCCCATCCAGCACGCACCCCGCCAAGCAGAGGAAAGCCCTCCTGGCCAGCAGCATCTCCACGTGGCCACGCGCGAGGGACACAGGATCCCGCAGCAGCCTGGCCACAGGCGGTCCTGAGCCCTTCCGGGGGGAGGGCGCGTAGGTGCTGCCACCCCTTACCTGTCTTTCAGGGGAGGCCCTGTGACGCTCCAGACCTTTGCTTTCTGCAGGGAAAGGGTTCAGAACAGGCAGAGCGCTTGAGGGTGCTCTGCAGGGGTGTGAGTCTGGGAACCCCTGCCCCAGCCACTGGCTGCTGGCAGTCATCTGCAGCCGTGGCTGTAAGCCGAGGCTGCTAGTCCTTGCAGCCGGATGCTTCCTCCAGCGGTATTGGGAAGGCGTGTGCCAGGGAGCACCAGTTGCTGGGGAACATGGGCAGGAAGGGTGAGCTGTTGCACTCATGTCCTGCCCGTGGGCTTCTGCTAGGCACGTGTCTGGCTGCTATGGAAAGGGGTGCAGGCGAGATGGCCTGTGGCCTGATCCAGCCGGACCACTCTTCTGGGGGCGAGCACTTGGAAGCCCGCCTGCACCGCCCCATCCCAAGGCTGCTGCTGGGAGCCGCTGGGATTTGGTCAGGAGGAGGCCACTGCCACAGATGGGACAGTCCAGCTGCGCTCCTGTTACGGCTCCACCCCACCAGCCTGCTCACCGTGCAGCCCCATCCTGCTGGGGCCAGTGGGCACTGCGCTGGCTAGCCGTTGAAGAATTCAAATGATGCCTGGAACTCAGGCCTGGCAAAGGTTCCATGGAATAGCAGCAGGTTCTGGCCAAGCCCCACCCGAGTGGCCAAAGAGGGAGTGGCTGGCCACGAGATCCGAAAGCGCCGCAGCTGCCTGCTCCGAGATGGCGCTTTGCCCCGGGGTGAGGAAGCAGCCATGGGTCTTCTTCAATCAAAGAAGTCCCAAGTTCAATGCCTGGCATCTCCAGCTGGGCTTGGAAGAGCCCTACCTGAAGCCCCGGCAAGCTGCAGCTGACAGTCACTAGAGGTCTGGCTACTGAGGGCAGATTCCTAGGGTGAAATACATAAAAAGAGCAGAAGCACGCCACCAGCCAGGGAAGCACGTGCCCCACTGCGTGCCCATGGAGTTAAAGGGGTATCACAAGGGGATAAGGTGATTGCAGAGAAGCAGAACAATTTCTTTTCATCTGCCATCTCTGCAGAACACACAGGGGCCTGAACAGATTCTTTTAGGGAGTCTGAGGAACTGAAGTAAATAGTTGTAACAAAAGGTTAAGTCCTCAGCCTTACTGGCATATTGAAAGGTAATAAATTATTTAAATAAATTTAAACGTCATTTTAATTGTTAACAATATTTGCTTATTTATCTGGCCAGGGCAACTTCTTTTATATTTTATATTTTTTATTTATTTTATATTGTTAATTTTAATTTTATATTGTTATTTTTGTATTTTATTGTATTTTATTGTGTTGTAAGCCGCCCTGAGGCTTTGGCAAGGGGCGGCATAGAAATGTTCTAATAAATAAATAAAAATAAATAAATTATTATACCTCCACAGCATCAGTCATGGAATTTATTACAGTGTGAAATTGCTGATCACTTGTCAACATAACCCTGTACCAGAAGACTGGTGAATGGCTAATGTAAAACCAGTTAAGAAGAAAAGGATCTGGAGAGAACTGGGAAATTCCAGGCTGGTTAGCTTAACATCTGATCGAGGTGAATTGGTGGAAAGCATTATGAAAGATAAAATTAGCAAACAAAGGAAATTGTTTGCTGAGAAGGAGTCAATGTGACTTTCACAAAGGTAACTTCTGTCTCTCACGCTTTTTGTAAGTCTTCGTAATTCAGTAACCGTGTGGACAGGGGCTATCCAGGAGGCATGGTTTACTTGGACTTCCAAGAGGCTCTTGAAAAATGTGATTGCCTATAGGCCCCCCAGCTCCTAAGGCTATGGACATCCCATTGCCTGCGGGGGGTGGGGGTGCGTTGCCTTCCGCCCCCTGCCCTGCCAGTGGCACAGACGGCGAGTTGGGCCATTTTTGCTCCTGCCTGCAAGGAGAGATGGTGGCGCCCCCTGGGTTCTTTGCAGGATGGCAGCCCCTTCCTTTTCCCCTCCCTGCCCCAGAACAGCCCCCGGGGCCCACTTTGAAGGTGGCCTTCTGCCTTCAGAGCCTCACTGGCAAGAAGGAATGGCTCTGGCTGCAAGGCAAGGATGGCAGGAGGCCCCGAATCCCTCACCGAAGACTTCTTAGCAGCCATGGAATAGGATCAGCAAAGGGTTAAAGAGGAGAAAGCAGGGAGAGGGAACAAATGGCCCATCCTCCCAGCAGAGGGATGTGGGGTCTCTGAGGGCTTTTCATAAGTGGGCTGTGAGGTGGCCAGGTTTGCTGATGGCACCAAATTATTTAGGGTGATGAAAACCAGAAGAGAATGTGAGGAGCTGCGAGGGGGTCTCCCCAGACTTGGAGAATGGGCATCAAAATGAATGCTTCTGGGTGAGCAAAGGCGCAATGACCAGTTTCCAGTCTGAGCCGATGGGACCTGAGCTGGCGGTGATTGACCAAGGAAGGGTCCTGGGGTCGCATCGGGCAGCTCAGCAAAAGTGCCGATGCGTGTATTCAATCACAGCGTCGATGTGCCAGTTAACGAGAGAGGGAGGAAAGCAGCGGTTTACTTTGCGAGTGCCACATCACAAGTGTGATAAGAGGAGCTAAGGTGGGAAGGCGACCCCTCGGGTAGGGAGGCTGGTCGCTTCTTTGCCACCTCTTCTGCCCCCTGCCCGGACCCCCAAAGGGGGCAGAATTGCCAGACTCTGGCCAAGCCATGGGGGCTCTCCCAACCCACTGGGCCACTCCCCATACCTGCAGGAGGTCCCCCCACCACACTGGCAGCTGGCAAGGGCGCCTCGAGGACCGCCTGGCTGCTCTTATCGCGAACGGAGCAGCCAGTCAGGAAGGGCCACGTGCTGCAGCTGGGCAGGAGCAGTGGGGGCGCGAGGCCTTATCTGCCCCTCCGTCTGGCATCTCCTGGCTCCAGCACTGTGGCGGCTCCAGCGCTTTCCTGCGAGACCTCATGGGTTGGTTCCCGGCAGCCCGATGGCTCCTGTTGGTGGGGCTGGCGGTGGCTCTGGGGCAGCACACGGAGACGTGGGCAAGCATGAGTGTGGCTGAGGGGGAACAGGAGGAGCAGGTGTCCGGAGAGTTCGTGGAAGAGGACGAGGTCCTGGTCCTAACCCAGAGCAACTTTGCTCAAGCCCTGCAGAAACATCCGCTGCTCCTGGTGGAGTTCTGTAAGTACCAGATTTGGGAAGGGCAGAGGAGCCACTGCAAGGGTCTGGTAGTCCACATGGTGCCACGAGGGACCCTTCTGTCCTGCGGCCCCTGTGGAAGTGCCAAGGCATGCTGGGTGGTGCCGGGACAGCCTCCTAAGCAGGTCTGACCAGGCCACACACCGCTCCCACTTGCCACTGCCACTTGGCTGTGCAGGGATGGGGCGGTTTACCCAGACCCAATCCTGGAGGCCATAGAAAAGCAATGGGGTGTGGCGGGCGGGGGGCGGGGAGGCAGCAAGCAGCGAAGGCATGAAGAGGGGCAGGTCTCACCTGTGCTTTAGAGGTCCCACCACATCAGTCCAGCTGCCCATTTCCAGCCAGTGGGTGGCTCTTCTCTTTCACCCATCCTGCCTTAGAGCTGCCGGGAGGGCAGGTGACTGCAGTTTCTGCCCCGAATTGGCAGAATTCGTCTCCTTTTAAAGCCAGTAGAGGCAGGGGCCATCCCCAGGCCTTGTGGTTCACCGTTCCAGAAGTTACTCGATGCGCGAATGCACAACACTACCTGAATCTAAGTCACGGGAAGAGTTAGGCCACCCCTGGGTGGGCCGTCTGTCCATCAGGCTCTGCCCCATGCAAAGGAGGGCTTTCCTTTTGCCAGGCCTGGCCTGGCCTCGCCTGGATGACACCCACAACCCCATTCAAGTAGGGGAGAGACCTGTCCTCTCGGCCCTATTTCTTCATGTGGGGCTAACTTTCTTCTGCCGCTTTCCTGTCTCGTCGTCTTTTCTCCAAATGACCCTGATGGAGCTTCCCTCCCTCCCTCCCCTTCCTCGCCCAGATGCTCCCTGGTGCAGGCCGTGCCAGGCCCTGGCTCCCGAGTACGCAAAGGCAGCAGCTGTGCTCAAGGATGAGGGCTCCCCAGTGAGGCTGGCCAAGGTGGACGCCGTGGAGGAGCGGCTGCTGAGCGCAGAGTTTGGGGCCACCGAGTACCCCGTCCTCAAGCTGTTCAGAGATGGAAACCGCACTCACCCCGCCAACTTCACAGGTAGGGGTCCCAGAAGGAACGGGGCTGGTGGGGGCACAACAGCCACCTGGCCACACCGCCACTCGCCGAAGCCCTGCTGCAGTCGCAGCTCTGCGCTGCCTCACCGGGGAGCAGCCAGCCCACCAGGGGGTCCGTCCATCGGGGCTCCAGGGCAGGGGAGCAGGCCGGCCGGCCGCCTTGACTCCTTGCTGCTCCAGTCACCGCCTCACAGAGGCGCGGTGCTGCGGAGGGAGGGGCAGCTCTGTGCAGCTCCCTTTGCTTCCCACGCAGCTGCAGCTTGACTCTGCCCCACCGGGTCGAGCCGGCACAGGGGACTCTGGGCTCAGCAGGGCAGCCCTGCCTGGGGCACGAGGACAGCACAGTGCGGCGGCTCAAGGAGCAGCGCCCACACCAGACGTGGGGCCCCAGCCACAGCTCTCCTTGCCTGGCAAGCCCCCGGTGAAAGAGGAGGGAGACCCGTGGAGCAAAGGCCAGTCCACCGTTCGCCCCTCAAGTGTCACCCCCGTCCCTGCACCAGGCCAGCAAGATGCCGAGGGGATCGTGAAGTGGCTGAAGCGCAAGGCTGGGCCCAGTGCAGTGCTGCTGGAGGATGCTGAAGAGGCGGCGGCTTTCCTGGATGCCCACACTGTGGCCGTGGTCGGATTCTTCTCCGTGAGTACCCTGGCTCATGCCTCAAGTTGCTGCAGCTGCCGCAGGCTGGGCCGCCTTTGCACACCCGAGGCAGGCGGAGGGCCTGGCGGCTGGCCGGGAGCGAGGCTGCACCTGATGGCGGCTTCCCTGGATCTGAGTGGGAGGCAGCCGGGTCCTGAAGGCAGGGCGCTCTTCTCCTTGGCACCCGCCAGCCGCCCCACACGGCATGGTCCCGGTGCTCCGTGCCTCCGCGCATTTGACTCTCCACTGGCTGCTCGGACTCTGCCTTCACCGTCGCTTTCCCTACAGGACCTGCAGGACGCAGATGTGCGCCTCTTCTATGATGTGGCCAGTGACGCGCCTGATGCAGCCTTCGCAGTCACCAACCATCCAGAGCTCTTCCAGATGTACAACATCACCAGTGGCAGCACCGTGGTCTCTCTCTTCCGGAAGGTGAGCCCAGGTTTCTGCCGGGAGTGTGACCGCTTCTGGAAGGGGAGGCCCCAGGTGCACAAGGACACACCTGCGGGGCACACTCTGTGAGGCCGGCCTGCTTGTGGGGAGCCGAGCCTGAAGGGACTCTGCCCCCTCCTGCAGCATGATGAACCCCGGGCGGACTTCCTGGTCGACACGGAGCTGGGCCTGGATGTGGCAGAGCTGAGCCGGTTCGTGGCGGTGCAGAGCCTGGAGCTGGTTATGGAATTCACGAAGAAGGTCAGCAGGATCCTCCCGCTCCTCCGGAGGGCAGAGACCCTTGTGCAAGGCTTAGCCGCTGGTCACTGTCCTGTGGTGCCCATGTGCTAGCTCTGGGGGTGAGGAGGGAGCAAACAGCCCCCGTGGCAAGGCCCACACTCCCGTGAGCATGTTGTGGGGAAGAGCTGGGCCCGGTCCTGGGCTTCTCCCAGGAAAAGCGATCCCGCAGTGCTCACTTGACTCTGCTACTCCCAACAGAACCAGTGGGTTTCCCCCCAGACAGGCTCCCCTTCAGAAGGGAGGTGGCTCCAGCCACATGGTGCCGTAACCAAAGAGCCCCCCTCCCCCCACATGCCAGGCCTCCATCCCGGAGATGGGCTGCCTGGGCCCAGCCAGGAGTGGCCCTGGCTCCAATGCACCGGGCTTGACTCCCACCCAGCATGCCCCTGCTCCTGCCTCTCTCCAGAGAGCTCTCACTGCCTGTGATGCTTCCCCAGAATGCCTCCAGGATTTTTGGGGCCCAGGTGCCAAACCACCTGCTGCTGTTCCTCAACAAGACGGTGGACTCCCAGCTGGAGCTGCTGGACAGCTTCCGGGGGGCTGCATCTGCCTTCCGGGGAAAGGTGAGGCTTAGTGCTTGCCCATGTCCTCCTGGTGGGTGTGGGAGGGGAGGGGAGGGGAGGGGTCTCCTTGCCATAGTCCCAGGAGAGTGCGGGCACGTCCTCCCACCCACCTCCTGGGCTGACGTTCCCTCCTTGGCTGGCCTTCCAGCTCAGCCAGGGAGCGGCGGGCAGGGCAGGGCAGGGCAGGGCAGCGGCACTGCCCAGCTGCTCGGAGGGGCAGCAGGTGCTGGCGGGACAGGCACTGGCGGCTGTGTTGGCAGGTGCTTTTTGTCCTGGCGGATGTGGATGGGGAAGGAGCGGGTGTGCTGCACTACTTCGGCCTCAAGAGCCAGGATGCGCCCGCCATACGGTTCATTCACATCGAGACCAACACGAAGTACCGCCTGGACACGGATGAGCTCAGTGCGGCGACTGTCCACACCTTCTGCCGGGACGTGCTCGGAGGCAAAGTCCAGGTGGGCCACCAGGAGTTCAGCGCTGGCAAGAGGGGGCCGGGGTGCCGACGCCTGCATGCTGAGGGTGCGCCCCGCCACACGGCTCCACCACAGCCGGGCAGCTGGTAACCCAGTGCCAGTGCCGGGCCCTGCACTCTCCCCAGCAGTAGGCAGGGCGCTGAAGGGGGGTGACCGTGGCGCCGCTGGCACTCCATGTCCCCCGGCCAGCGCCACCTCCTCCACCCCTCCACTCTGGGTCCCATGGAAGGCGACACCTGCCCAGTGCGGCGGCCCCGAGTGGACTGTTGCTGCAGCTGGCCTCAGACCCCCCCCCCCGCCCCCAGCTCCAGTTTGGCTTTGCTTTGCAGCCCCACCTGATGAGCGAGGAGATTCCCAGGGACTGGGATAAACAGCCCGTTAAAGTTCTGGTGGGCAAGAACTTCGAGCAAGTGGCCTTTGATGAAGCCAAAAGCGTGTTCGTCAAGTTCTGTAAGTGTGTGGCGCAGTCCTGTTCAGGGTCAGCCGAGGCCCCAGTGCCGAGCGCTGGCCCCAGACAGGCCAGCAGGAAGGCAGCAGCCCTCCCTTGGCGCTGTCCCCGGCCTCTGGAAGGTCAGCACAGGGAGGTCTCTGTCCCAGACATGGGGCTGGGCAGCCCGCGGCAGAGCAGGCCCGACTGATGCCCCAGACTCTGGAAGCCTCGCCAGAGTGGCGCTGGTCGATTTCACGGAAAGATCGAGCAGCATCAGCCACCGGTGCTGAGAGCCACATGGCAGCAGGCTAATTTCAAGCAGGGAAGGGAAGGGAAGGGGGAGGTCCTGGGCTGCCTCCCGGCGTGTCGTTCAGCCCTCCCCTTGGCTGAGCCCCGTTCCTGCAGGTTCAGGGGCCCTGGCTGGGATAAGCAGAAGGTGGTGGCAGCTTCTGCAAGGTGGGTGAGGACAAGATCACAGCAGCGCTGGTGGTGTTAGGAAAGAGAGAACACGCAGGCTCCGCTGCCACCACTGCCATTCGGAACAGGACTCTCACACAGCCCAGTCCTCCTCTCATCCCGGAATTCGTACTTTTCGGGGATTTCACATCCTTCCAAGCAGATTTTCATCCACCAAGCCACCAAGACTTTTAAAGTGGGGGGCAAAGAGTAGCCAGAGCCAAGCTGGCCCCTGCCGGTCTGCATGTGCCGCCAGGAAGGTCGGCCGCCACACGCACCCCTTTCCGCTCACTCGCAGCAGCCTGGCCTCTCTCTCGTGGCTCCCCCTCCCCACGGGGAGACGTGACTCGGGAGCGGCTCAGGCTGCTTGGATTTGCCGTCGGCACTGCTTGCCTGACCCAGTTCCTCAGCAATGCATCTGCCAAGCAGACACTCGCTTTGACTCCTGCCCGCCGGAGAAAGGCATGGAAGCAAGCGGCACAGATGCTGCCAGCAGGACCCGCAGGAAACACATCTGCCAGCTGTTTTTTGTGGCTGCGCGGCAGCGATACAGGCCAGCTGGAGCCTTGGGCAGGGCCCGAGGGGCTTCGACGGGGCTGCAGCTGCCCTGTGGCAGCTCTGCAGCAAGTTGTGAGATGCCAGTGCAAGGCTTGCTCAAGCCCCCAGACCCTTCTCTTCTGCTCCCACAGACGCCCCCTGGTGCCCCCACAGCAAGGCCATGGCGCCTGCCTGGGAGGAGCTGGGGCAGAAATACGACGGCCACCCAGACATCGTCATTGCCCAGATGGACGCCACAGCCAACGAAGTGGCGGGCCTCCCTGTTCCAGCCTACCCGACACTGTACTACTTTCCTGCAGGGGACGAGAGGAAGGTATGGGGGCTCGGCTGGGAAGGAGGCTATGCAGGCGTGCAAGCTTCCTGTGTGTCGGGGGGGGGGTGCCAGCCACGGGTGGTCACGGGAAAGGAGCCACCTGCTGGGCCAATCCACATTAGTGTCTCCCGGCTCAGATGGTCGAGTACAGGAGCGCCAGAGATGTGGAGAGCTTCGTGCGCTTCCTGGAGGGCGAAGAGGAGCCCCCTCCCCCCGAGAGCTCAGTGGTAAGACTCTGCAAGTGGCGAGTCCCACCCCTGCCTTGCCAGCCGGCCAGTGGGGAGGACTGTGGGGCACGGGCTGCCACAGACCTGCCCGTTTCCAGTAAGGTGCAAAGGGAGACGCAGGCATGCAAAGTGGCCAGAGTCACTGCCGCCAGCTCTTCCAAGTTTTGGCCCGGGAGGCCTGGAACCGGCCCGCAGGGCTTCACCCAAGAGACATGGCCTCCCCATGGAAGGTCTGGGAAGCGGGCAAATGAGGTCGGTTCACGGGTACGAGCTGAATGGCTACAAGCCCATGAGAAACGTTTCGGGTCCTATGACTTTTAAGCGAGCTCAGTTTGCAACGCGTGGAGACACTTCGCTCTGATTTCTAGGCTGCCGAGGACCCTGAGGGACCGAAGAACACGCAAAGCTCACCTGAGGCATCTGAGCCGCATGCCGAGTTGTAGGACTTCTGCTTCTGGGTTGCCTCACCAGGTGCTGGCTGCCCTCATGCGCCCGAATGACAAAGAGCCTTAACACCGGCAACATGTGTGGGTTGTGGGTTGTGCGTTCCTCCTCAAACATTCAGCTCGAGGCCCTTCCTCGCAGAGGTCTGCTCTTGTGTGTGCTTACCCTCCACGGTCCCTCCTGCCCGTGCGCAGGCACCTCAGTGGCCCTCACATCCCGAGGGAGCGCTGAGAATCGGGTGGGCGGCAGAGGAACGCTGCACCACTACAGCATCCCGGCTCAGTCTGGAGGCAGCCCCCCCAGAAGGGGGGGCTGTGCCAGGGCAGCTTCCGCTCACCAGGCCAGGCAAGCACTGGCGCCCACGGGTCAGCCGGGCTGGCAGGAGACCTCAGGGCTGCTCCTGCCCGCATCTGGCAGGCTGAGGCGCGGCGCCACCGAGGGCCGGCCTCCAACAGCAAAGGAGTGCAGCTCCTTGCAACGGGCACACTCCCACCCCGCTCTGGCTGCACGAGGAGGAAGGAGCCGGGCTGGAGAGGAGAGCCCAGCACAGTCCAGGCAGCGACGCCCAAGGCAGCCTCCTGGGTGCCTCTTGCGAGGGCTGCCACAAGCAGCTCCCCCAGTGCAAGCAAAGTTACTGGGGAGGAGGGAAGGGGCAGCCGGCCCCCGGCAGGGCCTGTGGATGCCACCACACACACACCCTCACCACCACCACCACCACCACCAGCCATCTGAACATGGTTTTTATTCCATTATTATCCAAGTACCTTTGAAAAGATAAATTGTACAAGCCAGCAAGTGAAAAATGTTTGGGAAATGCCGGCCATCTGCCCAGCCCTCAGGGGTTGGTGCCACGTGTAGAAAATGTACATATTTACAACTGAACCCTTCAGAAAAAAAGGGAAATGAAGAACCCGCCATGGCCAGGTAATACACAATAAAAATCCCATCAGATGTGGAAGGCAAGCTGAGCCCTGGAAGGGAGGAAATAACTGTCCACGGGGCTCTTCTGACCCTGGCAGAGGATGAGGACAAGACGACAACTCTGTTTGAAGGCACTAGGTGACACACACAAGGAATCTGACGTGGGCCCTCTCGAGGCCGACTCGCTAGCCCCGTGCCAAGGGATGCTCCGGACTCATCGGGACGAGGAGCCAGCGGCCGCAGCAGCACCAGTGGCACGCAAAAGAACGCAGCCGGGGTGGGGCGGTACGAGCCCACCACACACGCGCAAGAGCAGAGATGGAGCTAGAACTGGCCACCGCCGAGGCAGGAAAAGATCCACTTCATGGACCAAAGACACCGTTCCATGAGGCTCAGGGAGGCTCCAAGGGGTGTGTGCAGGAAGGGAAGCAGGCCCTGCCAGAGACAGGGAGTGGCATCCCATCCTGAAGGCCGGCACTGCCTGCAGGACATGGCCCCCCCTTTAAAGTGCCCAGATCTCTGTCTCCGGGACACCCCATGCCTTCTGCCGAAGAGCAAGAACATGAGAAGAAGTGAGGCATGGAAAGGCCCAGAGGGAGATGGGGGAGCCAGGGAGGCCCTCCAGCTGAGCATCCCTGGTGGGGGCTGGGAGGGGCGCTGAGGACACAGAGGGTGCCAAGCGTTCAGGGGTGGCTCCCGAGCAGCGTCTGAGGCAAGGGCAGGCCACCGCCTCCCACACCTCTTGCCCCACAGCCCCTTCCCCTCAAGTGCTTCTGGGCATCCCTATCGCCCCTGGGCGTCAATACTCCCAAGCAGCCACTGCTACCGTATCCTTCCAGGAGGGGGTCAAACTGCACCGCATGCGTCCAGGGTCCTGCTGCGCGTGTGGAGGCAAAAGTGCTGTGGCTTCCCTGCAGGCGTGTGGGGGGGCGGGGGCCACCTCTGGAGCGTCCCCGTTCCCTGCCACAGCCTTCCCTCCGCTCTGCCGGGGCTCGCCCACATCTCCCGCAGCCCCTGTCCTTGTCTCTCCGGGCCTAGTCAATCTTCTCCACCTTCCCAATGATCTTCTCTTCGAAGATGGGCAAAACCGCCTCGTCCTCTCGCACCTCTTCGAACACCACACCGCAGTCAAACTCGTCACTGACCTTTTTGAAGTAATACCTGCGAAGAGGGACGGCGAGTCAAAGGACAGCCTTGTGCCAACTGGGCCAACGCAGGCATGGCCCGGACCTCAGAGCGTCACTCGGGAGCTGGGGGGCAAGGTGCCTCTGGCCCCAGGCCCAGCCTTCAGAAAGAGTTTGCGGCAGCCTTTCGGTAGAGCCCCTGTGCGATCACGATCCTGTGATGCTAAGCAGCCATGTGACGTGAAGCGGCCTGAAAGTGGGCGGGTGCCTGACTCGCTTGCTGCTGCCACCCCCTTCCCCTCGGGAGTTTGTGGCCCTCCCAGTCCTCACATTATGGGGGGGGGGCTGCTCTTTCCCCTGCAGAGCATGAGATGTGGAAGGGAGGCTGATGGCAGGCACTCCACAGCCTCCCTACAGTGTGACAGGGCAGCTGGAGGGACCCTCAGCAAGGCACAGGGAGAGGACACAGGGACTGCAGGCCAGCAGCGTGCAAGGGACAGGCAGTGGTTGCCCCGGGGGGTTCCTGGGCCCCTCCCTGCCTGCTCCAGGGGCAACCTGGGCATCCGAGGCCATCCTCCCGCCTACCTGTAGCTCCCCTTCTTGGTGAGCAGCTCCTTGAACTGGCCCAGTGTGACCACGCGGCCTTTGACCAGGGTGCGGTACGGGATCGGCTCCCCACAGAAGTAATACGCCACCACAATGTTCTCGCAGGGCTGTGCGGAGCTGCCGCTTGGCCTCTTCTGAAGCTTCATCCTAGGAGGCGAACACAGCGCAGGCCCATCTCACGCTGCGGCCACAGCGACACGGACCCCGAGCCTGGCGGGCTGCTTCAGGCAAGGGCAAGACTCCACCAGGAGACTCTGGCAAGCTGTTTGCCCCCCCCCCCGGAGGAGGGGCAAATGCCGCGGGGGCCATGGACGCCGGCTGAAAGAGAAGAGGCTGGCCCAGAAGCGGCAGGCGGGGGTGCTCCAGACCGCCCTGCACACGTCCCAGCAGAACTGGGTTGTTGGGAAGGGAACCCACAAGGCTGCTCTGCTCCTTGCGGCCTTCTAGCCCAGCAACCCGAGCTGGGGTGGGGGAGCCTCCCTGCGGCTGCAATGACGCCCCATGCGGAAGGGCTCTCCTTGCGGCCCTTCAAGTCACAGTGGGCTTTTCTCCTCCCGCTTGCCTGGCTGCCCCGGTAAAGAGCCTCCGCCACTCCCAGCAAGGCTGCGCCTGCCTTGGGGAAGCCACGTCCTGTCTCCCCGTTTTGCAAAGCGTGGCTCCATCACCAACAGCTGGGCAGCTCGCTTCGCCTACACAGAGAGGCCCGAAAGAGCCCAGGGGTCCTAGACTCGTGCTGTGCCCCACGCTGGGGCTGGCACATTCCAGGAGAGGAAGAGCGGCCCTGGCAAGCCGAACAAGGACGGCCCCCTCCCCAGCAGGCAAGCCTTCACACTCAGCCTCTGAGGCCCGGCTTTGCCCTGCCCTGCACAGCACAGCACAGCAGCTGCCAAGCAGTGTTTGAGCATGGCCAAGGCACACGAGGACGGGGGGCGGGTGCTCCGGAGAGACGGCCGTACCCGGCAAGTGGCCCGAGGGCAAGGACTGCCATGCCTCGCCAGGAGCATGCGGTGCGGGGGGCCCGGGCGAGGGCTGCGAGGGGGGAGGGGAGGACGCAAAGAGCTGTGGCACGTACTCGGACTCGGAGAGGTCCAGGTCGGAGACGGCGGGCACCACACTCAACGGTGGCATGCAAGCTGGCCTGGCAGAGGAGCGCCCTCGCTGGATCACCTCCTGAACATACCTGAAGAACAACCTCAGACATTAGGCGGGTCGGCCCAGCTGCCAGCGCTCCTCTCCCTGGCCCAGGGAAGGGGCCACAGGGCAGCCTGGCCGCCGCCCCTCTGCTCCCCTCCCGCAAAGCATCGCACGTTGAGGGGACGCACGCCATGACTCGGCCGGTAGAGAGCTGCGTGGGGGCACCGTCCCAGGCACCGAGCGCGGAGGGAGAGCACGGCCCCGCGAGCGGGTGAGGCACCTCGTCCTCAAGCTGCAGGGGTACAGGGACACGGGTGACGCGAGGGGCCGATGCGGGGAGAGAGAGAACAGCCACACAGGCAAGAGATTGGAAGCCACGGCTGGGCTTCCCAGGAGCCCCTCAAGAAGAGGGTGCCTGGAGTTTGCCCTAGGCCCAGTGACTGGAACCAAGGGCTACCAGCAGAGTGCAGCAGAGCTCCCCTGCTGTCCCCCAGGCCAGGCTCCGGTCCTAGGAGCAGTCTCCCCTCCTCGTGCCACTCACTGCCGCTGCTGCGGCTGTCGCAGCATCCCAGAGGTGCTCGTGCCAGCCTCCGCCACAGCCCCACACACATGGCCCGTTGCCGTGGCCTGGCCAGCTCAGGGACTTGGCACCAGGGAAAAGAGAGGGTTGTACAGCTGTTCGCAAGGCTTGGCCAATTGGCCTCCACAGACAAGTTCCTTCTCCAGAGCTCCCCACAGGGGCGGTCTCCAAGCATGTGGCAGCACCGAGGGGCAGGAAGGGGCAAGGGAGAGGCCAGCAGCTTTCTCGGGTTCAAAAGGCAAGCAAGGGCAACAAGTGGGTAGCCAAGAGCCCCATCTCCAGCTCTCCCCATCCACTGGTTCTGGCGGCTTCCAAAGCCACTCCTGGGCCAGGGAATGCCAACCCCGCTCAGTGGGCCTCCCGGAAAGGGCGGCCCCTGGCCCTGCCAGCACCTAAACCCCAGAGAAAGAGGCCCCTTTCCCTTTCAGACGCCAGAGTTCCATGGAGCACAACCGGCCCTCCCAACCTGGCTGGGCTGCCCCACCTGCCCCCTGGCATGGTGGGCATCCACGGAGGGTCACAGTTGTTTCTTCCAAGCGAGTAGACCAGATACCGGGGCATTCCAGGAGCCACCGAGCCAATAAGCCTTCAAGGGAGCCCCCTAGGTCTGGGAACAGCCCCTGCAGGGACTGCCGCCCAGTCTGGGAAGAGAAGGGGACTCCCTGGCCAGCTGAGGCAGGTGCCAAGACCCAGGAGGCACACCGGGCAGGCCCTCCCGCAGCGTGTGGGCAGCACAGCCTAAGTGAGGGGAAGGCCGCCTGCCCTCCTGGCCAAGGCAACTCAGTGCCCCAGAGATCCCCCCTGCAGCTCTCCCCACTTACCGCTGCTTGGCGGGCGGTTTGGCAGTCCTCTTCTCCTCTTCCTCCAGCCTCCGGCGGGCTTCCTCCAGCTGGGTCAGTGGGTTGGGGGCTGGGTTGGGGGGCATGGTGGGGTCCTGGATGAAGGGGTGTGAAGGCTGCACGACGTTCCGGAGCTGGGCGCTGACCCAGGGGTGGACCGCCATCGGGCGCTCAACAGAGGCCGGCCGGGGCAGCTCGTGAGCAAGATGCTTCTTTGCACCAGAAGAACTTGGGGGAACAAACAAGTGGAGAAATGGTCGTTCTCTTCGGGTGCTTGTGCTAAAACAAGCCACAAAATAGGCTCAGGTTCCAAGCACGCAGCAGAACAGAGACAGGCAAAACAGGCATGCGCTCAAGCCAGTGTTGGCCCGCTCAAGGCATTTGCTATCCGGCATGTAGGAAGGAGGCACCAAGGCAACCTTTGGAGCAAAGCGTTCCAAATTCAGGTGCGGCCCCAGAGAAGGCCTCTCCTCGCCCCTCGCCCAGCTGAGCCTGCCCTGTGTTTGGGACAAAGAGAAGGGCCCGGTGCCAGATCCTCGGGTCTGGGCAAGCTGGCATGGCTGGCTGTGAGCCCTGAGGTACGCGCACCTCTGCTACTGAGGCCCATTCATGGTCACCTCCCCCATCTTAGTACTAGGCAGAATCCACACTCCTAACATGTGGAGTGACAGGTCAGTGCCCACACACGCACGCAGACCATTTTAGGCCGGGCTGGCAGGGACTCCTCTGTCCCAGTGCGACTCTAGCTGCAGAAGAGCTCCGTGCGCATGATGCTGGACAGAGGAATGCGGGGAGGCTGCCCCTGTGTGGAGGCTAATTAGGAGCCTGGGAACGTGTGACTCGCTGCTTGAATGGGAGTACCGGCTTTTAACAGCGGCCGGATTCAAGCCTCCTTTACAAAAGGGTTCTTTGATAGGGCTTATCGGGGTTCTCCTCAGGGACACAGGCACCTCAGGTGACATGCAGACCCGCCCACGTACCTCTGCGCAACCTGGCCACCATTCCTTCTGCTTCGCTTACCTGTGGTTTGTCTTCTTGTGCCTGCTGATCTCCTTCTCGCCTTCTATGATCCACTGCATGATCTTCTGGTTTCTTTCCACGTCTTCCGGAGAGCCGGGCACATCATAGCTGGCGCCATCGTTCTTCCCCGTGTCCCCCTTCTTGACGTTTCGCTTGGACAGCAGGCCGCCTTTTCCACTAGGAGGAGGACACACCAGCGGCAGGCAAGTCATCAGCTGCTCACGGGGGGAAGGCACAGCAGAGGCGCAACCCAGGCCCTGCGGCCCCGAGGCAGCCAGGCCGGCTGGCCACTGCTCCTGTGGGGGGGTGTCCTGGAGGGGGCGCTGCTCTGCTCTCTGCACCAACCGGCACACAGAGCCTCGCAGGCGTCACCACCTGGGATGCACAGCCTCCTTCACAAAAAGAAGTCAAAGAGGGCAGTCATGAAGGTTGAACCCTGCAAGGGTGATCCCTCGGAGAGTACCCAAAACCACAATACCAGAGGCTCAGAGAGCATGCACGGTGCAAGCGAGGAAAGGCAGGATGCAGCCTAAGAGGTCACCAGCACGGTGGGTCAAGGGAGCTATTAACAAGAAGGGGGCTTCCTTCAAGAAATGGGCGTCTTGCTCGAATCGGAAAAATGGAAGGGAGCGCAAGCCTGCACAAGGGGAAAGCATGCAGAGAATAAGAGAAGCAGAGGGACGCTTTGGGGAGCACTTTGCTAACAGCATCAAGGCCAACGAAACATAATTTTTTAAATACAGCAGAAGGAAGAAACCAGTCTATGAGGGCGGTGGACTATTGGATGGTAACAGAATTAAAGGAGCACTACAGGAAGGTAAGGGGGTTGCTGAGACGCAACATGAATTCTTTCATTTGAGGATGGAAAATGAGGATACAGCTGAGGATACAGACCAGATACCTATTCCTGAATTGATGTACTCAGGAAGGGAGCCTGAGGAATTAAGGCAGATAATAGTGGGGAAAAAGATGACATTCTAAATCTTTAAAAACATAAAGTTAATAGATCACGGGGTCCAGACTGTATCCATCTGAGTGTTCTTGAAGAGCTCAGATACCAAATCACTGCTCTTCTTACAAACATGTGTAAGAAGAGTGTTTTTGCAATCAGCCTCCGTACCAGAGGACTGCAGAACAGCAAACACCAATTTTTAAAATGGGATCTGGGGGAACGCGAGACCTCCCTCCTACGCCTGCCCTCCCCTCCGACTGCCATGCGCTCACCTGTAGGCCAAGGCATCCAGGGGGCCAGTGGCAGGGCCCAGGCAATCCCCATAGGCCCGCAGCTTGGGGGGGCACCCGTGAGCGTCGACAGTCCAGGCAAAGCCGCGCTGGCCCGCCTCCGCCTCCGCGGGCTCCTTGGCCTTCAGGGCACTGTGGTGGTGGATGAGGTGGTGGTACACGTGCTTGTGGTGATACAGGCTGGCCGCGTCCAGCTTCAGCCCCGGCTTGGCAGGGTGCTTGCTGTGCCCCAGCGAGACGGCACCCATCAGGCTGTGCAGCTTGCCGGCCAGGCCGCTGTCTGGTGAACGCAGCTTCGGGGAATGGCGCCCCGGGCCTGGCGACTGGCAGCCCGGGGTCTTCATGACCCGCTGGACGTGCTCGTCCAGGATGCTCTCCGGGTCCTCCTCGTGCGCGTCCCTCAGCTGCACATCCGCGTAGCGGGGGGGGAAGTGGGGCACAAGCTGTGTGGGGGGCAGTTTGTGGCTTCCCACAGGACCGCCCAAGGAGACGTCCGCATCTTCACCTTCTTCTTCCTGTCACAAGACACAGGCACAGCTCAGGACTGGGGACTGCCCAGCCAGATCTAGCACCTCCCCACAGACACCCCAGGCCCCAGCTAAGAGGGAGAGGTCAGGGACCAGACGCCTGCACTGCACCATGGTGCCCTGTGTCCTGGCGCAACAGCCCTGCAAGGCGTTCTCCAGGAGCCGGACCTCTCCTGGCCCTTCAGGCTGCCACTGCACTCATCTCCTTTTCCAGCCCCTTCAGAAAGCAGCTACGGTGGGAGGTGGGCGCGTGGCGTCCCTTACACAGCTCAGCCCGGCCACTGCACCAGAACTTCACAGAGGGCAGCAAAGGCCCCGTTCCCTCACACTTAGTCCCAGAGGTGTCCTTCTGACAGAGCCCCAGAAGGAGCAGGATGGGTGGGGAGATGTCAGCAGGGGCTACTTACTGCTCGGACTCGCTTCAAGCGCTCCTCCAGCTTGGCCTCCGCTTCCCGATCCCGTAGCACTTCTTCCAGGCGATTGATCAGCTCAGCAGCAAACTTCTGTGGTTCAACGTGGATATCCTTTGGCATTCGGTACGTACGCTGTGGGGGGCACACGCACAGAGCTGGTTAACAACAGGCTGCTCCGAGTCAACAAGGAAGCTGGCCCAGCCCATGAGTGTGGCGAGGGAGAGGCAGCTGTGTGGCAGGAGACCAGGACAATGCTCAAGGCCCGGCCAAGCCAGCTGTCCATCCCGTGGGAGTGTAAGGATGCTCAGCCTGGCCAAAGAAACAACGCGGGAGCAGAAAGCAGGGCGGGAAGGCTGCAACAGGGCGATGGCCACCCCAGGCAGCAGCAGCAAGCCAGGGAAGGCAACACAGGCCTGGGCCACACCAGTCCGCCCGCAGCATCAGCTGCTGGACTGCAGGTGCACAAAGCCAACAACTGAAGCCCTTCCAGGGCAGAACGACCATCCTGAAGGGCAACTTCCTAACTGGGCTGCATTGCCTTGAACTTAAGCCCAGTTTTATTCTAGGCACGCAGAGTGTGGCTGTCAATCCATCCGGAGATCACACATACTGGAGTGCTCCAGATGATGTCGCTTCCAGCACCCATCAGCCCCATGCAGCACGGCCAGTGACGATGGGGGAAAACTGCTCCTGTCTGAGTGGTGCGGCTCTTCTCGGGATGGCCACAAAGGGAGGACTGCTGGATCTCGGCCCTTCCCTGCCACCAGCCCAAAGGGGTGGCTGATGTCTGCTACTTACAGGAATGTGAGGTAGTGGCACACGTCCGTTAGCTTTGGCACTTTCCTGCATCTCTCTGCGATGCTGCTTGCGAAGTCGGTATGGCGGAATCCCATCTCTGCCATGAGAGGTTGAGGAGAAAGAGAGAGGCAAACACAGAGAAGGTCAGCTCCAAAAGAGGAGGAGGAGGAGGAGGAGGAGGAGGAGGAGGAGGAGGAGGAGGGCAGCACCAGGCCAACACTGGAGGCCAGTCTGGCAGGCTTGCCCAGCGCTGGCTGCTAAAGGCCCCAGGGACAATCCCCCCTCTTCTGAGTCACTCTTTCTAGCGCAGGTCCCAGGAGGGCACCCCTGCAGCACATGCCTGAGGGGAGGGGCTGGGCCTGCCGCCTGCCCCCAGCCGCAGCTGGCCTGGCCATCCTTGGCACGTCCACCTGCCCACATTTTTCTCCACCAGTCATGTTCTGGCCACCCACCCATATTGTGTCCACGGGAAGGCTGGCTGGCGGCTGGCTCAGCAATGTCCTGTCTACTGGAAAGTGCCTTCCCCTTTCGGTAAGAGAGACGGACGTCACACATGCCCCCTCCAGCGGCACGGCAGGGCTTGGGGGCCTCTGGCACAGGCACAGAAGTGCCCCGCCTTCCTGCAGAAAGGGAAGGCCTGCCTTGCAGGGGCCTCCCCGGGGCAAAGTCACCTGCTGTGTCTGCCCCACTCCTGTTGTCTGTCTGGGCCACAAGGCAGATGCAGGCAGGGCCCTGCTTTGCCAGGGGCCTCAGCCCAGAAAAGGCTGCACAGCAAGTAGAGCTGTGCCACATGGAGCAAGTGGAATTCCCTCAGAGTGCCAGGAAGAGCTTGCAGGGAAGGCGCTAAGGGAGCGGCTTGTTCACTGCTCTGGAATCTGTTTAAATTAGGAGCAGTATATGATGCTACACATATATGACAACAAATGAGGAACAGCCCCCTCTGGGGGATTCTCTGGGAGGGGAGGGAGCCAGTCCATGGAAGCAAAGTGACCCTGGCGGAGCTGAGCGGGGCGGAGCAGGGAGCCGCACATGGGCCCTTCCGGAGCCAAGGCTCTTGGCCATCCACGGAGAGCGACGGGACACCAACCTGCTAGCCAGGAACTGACACCTTCCGACCCAACAGGCCCAGGCGGGCAAGGCAGAGAGAGGGCGACCCTCGCTCGCCCTGCCGACCGCCACCATCTCCAGGAAACCCCAAAGAGGGAGAAGGGGTACTCACACGCTGCTGTCAGTCAGCGACACGGTGTCTGCATCACTGGACATGCTGTGCTGCTCGCTGTCGTTGGCACTGGTGGCCGGAGCCAGAGCGTAGCCTGTGTTGACATAGTAGGGATGGACAGGCTCCCTCCAAGGCCCGTGCCTGCAGCAAGAAAGCAGCAGGAGCGGAGGTGACACCAGCGGGGGCCGAACCCAGGTCCCACCAGCCAGGGCGGTGAGCGGCAGGGAAGACGCATGGATGGGCACCGCAGCTTGTGGAGAAGCAGCCTGCTCATGATGGCACGAAGGGGCCTCCTGGGAGCTCAGACACGGAAGCACTAAAACCCAGACCCCCACCCGTCTGGCACCCGGCACAGAAATAGAAATGGGCACTTGTGGTCTTTTGAGTGGAAGACCATTCAAAACCACAATCACAGAAGCTCAGCTGGAAACAATATTGGAAGTGAAGAAGCGGAGCACCAAGTCCGTGAGGTCACCAAAGGCAAAGAAGGCTTACTTCAAAAACGGAGAAGCTTGCCCAGAGGAGGGAAACAAGAGTGCAAACCCGGCACAAGATGTGAGCGAGGGCAAGAGATGCAAAAGGGCACCTTGAGGTGCATGCTGCTAACGGCGTCAAGGTGAACATGCAATTCTTCAAAGATACCAGAAGCAAGGGAAAGACTGGAGAACGGCCGATGCAACACCAATTTAAAAAATATCCAGGGAGGACACAGGAAATTACAGGCCAGTTAGCTTAACACTGGTTCTGAGTAAACTGCTTGAAAGTATAATTACAGGTAGAATCCATAAACACACAGAAAGACAAGCCCTGATGAGAAAAACTCAGCACGGCCTCACAGGGGAAAGTCTCATTAACCCAGTGGAGTTCTTTGAGAGTGTCCTCAAGCATGCAGACAGGGGCAACCCAGTAGACACCATCTTTTGACAAAGTCTCTCATCAAAGGCTCTTGTGCAAAGTAAACAGTTGTGGAATAAAAGGGGAGGTACTCTTATGGATCATTACTTGGTTAAAGAACAGAAGACAGAAGATGGGAATAAATGGCAGCTTCTCCCAGGGGAGAGGTGTAACCACTGGCACACCACACGGTTCAGTATTAGGGCCAGTTCTTTTCGACCCATTCATAAATGGTCTGGAATTAGGAATAAGCAGCCAAGTGGCCAAGCCTGCTGATGACACCAAGCTATTTGGAATAGTCAACACCATACGGTATTGTGAGGCGCTCCAATGGGATCTCTCCAAGCTTTCCATGGGGATCAAAACAGCAAACGCCGCTCAATATAAGTGAGTGTCGAGTAATGCATCTGGGGAAAATATCCCAGCTACAAGCATACGCTGATGGGAGTGGAGCCAGCAGTAACTGAGCAAGAAAGACATGCTGTGTAGCAGTGGACAGTCCAGTGAAAATGGCAGGCCAGTTCATCTTCAAGAAATAGGTTCTAGTTCAGACCCTGCTAGCAGGACCCAAGGACCATGCTCAACTGGAGAAAAATCACAGCACTGAATGAGCCGGGGGTGGGCCATGTTCTCCCGATGGACAGAAGAGGAAAAGCAGCAGGCAAAGCTGAGCAGCACAGTGCCTTCTTCACAGGCAGTGGGAGCGGAAACAAAAACTACCTTGACATTCCCCCACAGTGAATGGGGCAGATGCCACAGTTCAGCAGGGTGGCTGTCCACCTCTGGAGCGATCCCCACACTGGCAGTGATAAGCTGTGCGTTTTCCCCTTGAAGTCCCCTCTTTGTGCATCCTTTGGCCAGCAAATGGCACAAAAGGATCGTCTGCTTTCTAGAGCACAAAGCAAAGAAACCGAGCCTGTCTACCTACAAGAAGCCAAGGGTGCTTCCCGGGGACCCCAAGCCTTGCCAAAATCTGTAAAGCCCAGCCCAGAGCCAAGCCACCACATTCTCCCAGGACCTTATCTCCGGGACCGGATGTTGAGAGAAAAGCCTAACATACATTCACTATGTGCCAAACAGACAGGGCCTGCCTCTGGGGAACCTCCCATCAAAGCTTTGGTTGGTGCTCGGACCAAAGCACTGAACAGGCTCACCTTCCAGCATCACCTGTGCAAAGCAGTTCAGGTAGCAAAGTTGGGGTGACTTCTGCAGAATTGCAGAGTGGGGAGGGCCGGGCTGACCACAGCAGGCAGTGCTGGGCGGAATGGGCCGCCTGGTGAGTTGCTAAAAGAAACCCTATTGCTTCAGCCGCCAGCTGCGGTTGCCCAGCCACTGCTGGGCGAGCACCAATTCAGAGACTTCGCTGGGTATGCAGCAGCCACACACATGAGCCACCATCCTCCCAATCCTCACAGCCATTTCCAGTGGCCCCATTCAGTAAGAACTGGGCCTGCTTTAAAGGAAGGCGATGTGCCAAGAGCACTACACCTGTGTTTCTCACCTGAACTCTCTTCCCTCACTGTATCGCCTTGATGTCGAGGCTCGCTGACCGGCTGTCTCCAGGAGGAGCTTCTGCGTGAGCCGACTGGAGGGGGCAGAATCCCGGGTAGCTTCCTCCTCCTCCACGTCCTGCTCACATTTCCACTCCTCATCCTCATTGAGGGTAGGCAGATACCCAGGCAAACACTTCCCAGTCCCCGACCCTGAACTCTGATCACTGTACACCTTCGGACTTTCTGCACCTGTCCTTGTATATTCCAAATAAATATCTGACTTAAGGAACAGTGGATAGGTATTCTCCTCTATCATGGACTGAATCTCTGTCTGGGCTTGGTCAAACATGGCTGGATCAATTAACTGCTTTATCACACAATCTTTTATGAAGCTCTTGGTTGCTGGTTTGATCTGCCGGGACACGATCCCATTATTGTCCAGAATGTACTTCTTGTAGATGGCCTTTGCCAGCTTCAGCCGCTTCTCCTCGTTGGAATCGCAGGGCTCCAGCTTCCGGAAACCACTGCAAGCAAACCAGAAGTCCAGCAAGTCTGCACAATTCTCCTGCTTCAAGAAGGTCCTAAACAAGTTTATGCCATCTTGGTCATCCAAAAGGGAGTGCAAAGACTCTGCCCATCTCAGGTAGGGAGGTGTAGGAGAAGCACTTCCCTCTGGCTCATAGCCCAGGTCCAGGTCCGGACGCCTTGGCGTTGCTGTAGAAGTTTCAGTTTTGACAACCTCACACTTTCCAGAGTAAAATCCATGGCTGACTGGCCGCAGATCTGTAGAAACTAGTTCACCTTCCTCACCAGGGACTGGTGGCCTGGGAGCGTCCTCGGTAAAGCTTCCCCCAAGATCCAGAGGGAAACCTTTGTCTTGAACATTCATCTTGTTGGCACTTGCTGGCACACGAGCCAGAGCGAAAGAACGGGCCCTGCCTCAGCACTCCAGCAGGTACACGCAAACCCAGCTGCGACAACAGAAAGCAGTGGTTAGAAAGCACAGCAAGCAGCTCTCTGGAGAGCTAGTTCAATATTCCAAATTCTGTTACAACCAGAGGATATCAGTTCCTTTTCCCAGGAAAATAAGGACAAAACTTCCAGGGGGAACCAAGAGGTGCTCCAAATTAAGAGAACCCGATGGCATTGCAAAGCACCAGTGAAGAATTTGATCCCTCATTCTCTGACAAATTTTACTCACTTCCAGATAAATCCTTTACTGAAAATTAATCTGCATGTTCCTCTACTGATTCTAATTTCAAAAAGGCCCAAGAATTAATTAAAGTGACTGCCTAAGAGAGTTAAACATCTAATGCAACTTTCTGCACAACACCTCAAAACTAATACATTTATAGCACAAATATAACAGAGCCTATTGTATTAAGCAGCGTGGGAAAAGGGAGCTAGAGGGAAGAAAGGGGCGATTTGCTGTCCCCTTCAGCACCGTGTGCCCGAGAAGTAACCCAACCAAGTGTACAGGACTTGCTCCAAGCTAAAGGGTCCCGGGCTGCGGTCCTGAGGATCTGCAGCAACCGTCGGGCAGGGCTGGCGCAGCAAGGAAACTCGCCAAACTTTGCCGGGCCTGCGGACCCCAACCGCCCCCAGTTCGGCACCCGCGGGCCGGCCGGTCCTTCGCCCCCGGCCGCGGCAGCCCGGGCGAGGCGAGGCGAGGCGAGGCGAGGTGACAGCAGGGCGCGACAGGGCCGCGCTCCGGCCCGTTCCGCCGCTCGGCGGCCAGCGGGCGGTGCGGCGGCCCGGGAGCCTCGGTCCGCCGGAGGGCCGGCGAGAGGGCGCCGAGCGCGGCCGCCGCCGCCGCCCTTTGTTTGACGGCGGGTAGCCTGCCCTGACAGCCGACACGTGCGCGCCCGCCGAGCCGCTCGGAACGCGGGGCCGCCGCACTGCCCGCGGCTTCCCGGCCAGCCCTGGCGGCCGCCTCGGCCGGCACCGCGGGCCCCTCGCCTGGGCCTGCGCCCGCCGGC